TTTAAAAAGCAAAGCTGATTCTGTTACTCCCTGCTTGAAATCCTTAAATCACTTCTTGTCATCTATAAAATAAAATACAACCCCGCTCACTTTTCTAGCCCCATCTCCTGCCACCCCCCTTATGGCATTCTTTCCTGGTCCTCATTTGCTTCCTCAGTTTCTACCTCCACAATGGATCTCCTTCCAAACGCCACCACTCCTGTGTGACTGCCTGGATTGCCAGCAGGACAGCATAAAGACTCAGAGTAAATGCGGCCATGCGGACTTGCCTGACTGCCAGTTAGGTGATCTGAGTTTAAGCAACTTGCTTACACTTCTTAACTCCCAGTTGCTTCATCTATAAAGTGGAGATAATTAGTAGCTCCCTATATAATTGCCACGAGGAATTAAATGAGAAGTTCCATGTAAAATGTTTATATAGGCCAATCACCTAGTAAATACCAGTCATTGGTCTTGGCTAAGATCTGGTTTTTCTTCTAGACTCCGTAACAGTGCCTTTTGTGTCTTCAGTGACCATGGCGGTTCCTGGCACAAAACTGGTGTGCATTAAATGTTTGCCAGATGGACAAATACATGGATTTGCCAAATGGACACATTAATGATCTCTGAACCCAAAATTAGAACACTTGGTCTGATGTGTTTGTATAATGGAGCAGAGTTCAAGTAACTTCTAAAATGGTGAGTTATTGCTATAGCAATACAACATTTTTATCTCACCCTAAGTCCTGAGAACAGGGGTGTTGCTTAAGGGCATACTGCAGGTATGGAGTTTTGTAAATTTGAAGAGACAGAGCTTTCAGACAAATTTAACTGAGGTTCTAGTCCTGTCTCTGCCACTAACTAGATATGTGGCTGTGAGGGAGCTAATAATCACGCTCGCAGTGTTTCTATTTCCTCATCTGTGGACAAAGAGTGTTGGGCCAGATGATCTTGAAGGTTCCTCTCAGCTCTTCAATCAGTTTCTTTTGTAACTTCTCCAAGTGGTAATTTGGGGAAATTGTGTATGAAAGCTAGAATAAGAGACAATTGCATTATAATTAAGTACTAAATATTACCTTTACACAAGGGCTCTTGAGATATTGTTGTTTTAAATTTGAGAAACAGAAGAAAATTAATAGTATAATTTTAGATCTGGAATTCTATATAATAAAAGTCTAATGTGCTAAGTGTATGACTACTCTACTATTTGACCAGTTGCTATGATGCACACTGACCACCAGGGGGCAGATGCTCCAATCAGTAGGTTAGCTTGCTGCTGGGGTCTGGCCAATTGGGACTGAGCGAGACAGGCCAGACATGCCCTGGAGCCCTCCAGCAGTCCCTCCCCAGCCCCTATTGTGCACCAGTGGGGTCTCTTGGTCTGGCCTGTGCCCTCTTGCAATCCAGGACCCCGCAGGAGGTGTTAGAGAGCTGGTTTTGGCCCAATCCCCCCAGGTCTTCTGTACCTGGCCTTATTCTGATTATGTCTAACTGCCTACCACAACTGGATTTACATCTGGACATATGTGAGTCCTTCAGAGATTCCCTGAGCCTCTCATATACATCCACCTGGCATCCATCTGATTGATGACTATCCTGGACCAATCCTAGGGCTAAGAATCAGGACATACTTTTTACTATAAGAATTTTTAATTTTTCTTTCTTCTTTGGAGCACTTCTGGGTTTTTGCACAGCTGTGTTCCAAGTTTGAAAACCCCAAGATCCTTGAACAAATATATATATTTTTTTTAAGCAAAGCCTCTAGATCAGTGGTTCTCAACCTTTCTAATGCCATGACCCTTTAATACAGCTCCTCATGTTGTGGTGACCCCCAACTATAAAATTATTTTTGTTGCTACTTCATAACTGTAATTTTGCTGCTGTTAATGAATCATAATGTAAATATCTGTGTTTTCTGGTGGTCTTAGGCGACCCTGCTAGCGGTTCTCAAGCTGTGGGGCTTGCACATTTTGTGGTCAGCCTTGATTCTGACACTTATAACTGTGTGACAAAGCCAATTACTTAACTTCTATCTGCTTCAGTTTTCCATCCATATGATGGGGAAAGTGCTACTACTGCCTCAGAAGGATTATGGTATGTACTACTTTTTATAATTAAAAAAAATGTACCTCCTGCCAAAACCAGTTTGGCTCAGTGGATAGAGAGCATCGGCCTGCGGACTGAAAGATCCCAGGTTCGATTCCGGTCAAGGGCATGTACCTTGGTTGTGGGCACATCCCCAGTAGAGGGTGTGCAGAAGGCAGCTGATCAATGTTTCTCTCTCATCCATGTTTCTAGCTCTCTATCCCTTCCTCTCTGTAAAAAATTCAATAAAATATATTTTTAAAAATGTACCTCCTATACAACAGCAAGATGCCTTTCACCTGTATGAAAAGTATGGTCACTGGTGTATGCAGTGTCCCGGATTGAGAAAAGGATGTCCAACTGCCAGTTTAGGCCCAACATCCCCTGAGGGGTCCCAGATTGCGAGAGGACTCAGGCCAGGCTGAGGGACCCCCCCCTCCGGTGCACGAATTTTGTGCACCAAGGCTCTAGTATATGTAGATATACCTGCTCTATCTATTTAAAAATAAAACAATAAGATATAAATATCTTAAAATATAGATATAAATAATACAATGAAAACTGAGGGCCTGGCGGGGCCTAGAGGAGGAGCCGGCACCTTGGCCAGGAAGGAGGCCCGACTGGAAACTATCAAATAAAAAAACCTTATATTAAATCTACAAGGAGTTTCTTCCATTCATTCAAACGGACATTCGTTTTCATCTTTTATGTAAACACCATTGACTTGGTTTCTATAAAGTATTCATTTTGAATTTTTTTCCCAGCGATGGGGATTAGTTTGTCATGAGCCATCTATACCAGTATTATTTTTGTAATAGTTATGAAACTACAAGGGCAGGACTTGGGGATGCACACCAATGTTAGACTCCAGTTTGTTTGAATGTCACATATTTAGTGAAATTTCAACCATCCTTTCCTTTACCAATTAATCATGCTCATAATTGTGTTCAGTTCTTACCACATATTATCATACTTGATTTTGAATATTGAACTGGAGTTCAATATAGCACGGTGTTTATTGAAATATAATGCACATATGCCCAGCTGGCGAGGCTCAGAGGTTGAGTGTTGACCTATGACCCAGGAGGTCATGGTTCAATTCCTAGGTCAGGGCGCATGCCTGGGTTTGGAGGCTCCATCCCCAGTGTGGGGCATGAAGGAGACAGCCAATTAATGAGTCTCATTATGAGTTTCTTTCTCTTTCTCCTTTTCTCTTCTTCTCTGAAATCAATAAAAACATATTTTTTAAAATATATAATGCACATATAATAAAATTCATCCTTTAAATTGTATAATTCAATGTGTTTTAGTACATTCACCAACTTTTGCAATCATCACCACTGTCTAATTTTAGAACATTATCATAATCCAAAAAAGAAGTCCCATAGGCATTAGCAATCACTCTCCCTATCTCCTGGAAAACACTGATCTAGGATACTCTGTCTCTAAGGATTTGCCTTATTTTGGACATTTAGTAGAAATTGAATCATAATACAAAAAAAAAAAAAAAAAGAAAGAAAGAAAGAAAGAAAGAAAGAAAGAAAGAAAGAAAGAAAGAAAGAAAGAGAAAGAAAGAAAGAAAGAAGTGGAGTCATATAGTATATAGCCTTTTGTGTCTGGCTTCTTTCACATGCATAATATTTTCAAGGTTCAATATTACAGCATGCATCAGTATGTTATTCTTTTTTATGGCCAAATAATATTTCTTCATATAGATATATCCCATTTTAAATAGATTCATAAGTTATTTGGACAGCGTGGGCTGATTCCACTTTTTGGCTGTTATGAGTAATGTTGCAAAGAACATTTGTGTCCGAGTTTTTGTGTGGATGTGTGTTTCCAGTTTTCTTGCCTCATGGTATTCAGAAATGGGGCAATGCTGCCACACTGCCTTGGGTTGAAGGCCAGCCTCTGACACCCACAAGTCGTGTGAACCTGGATAAGCTACTTAATTTCTCCATGCCTCAGTCTCATCTACAAACTGGCTATTCTTACTGAATATGAGGCCAAAAGAACATGGAAAGTACTTGGGGCAATGCCTGGTATATATAGTTAGGTCTGAGTAAATTTTATCTGTTATTTTAATATTTTGAGCAAATTAATGATAGGGCTCATCTTCATTGTACCTTTTGAAAACCCAGAACCTAAAGGTGTATCTTTTCCTTTAATAAAAAAGAGAAATAAATATTCAGAATACCCTTCTGGGTATCAGGATGTACTAGTTTCAGACAAATGTATTTTGAAATCTAAGAACAGATGCTTGAAACTGTAAATTACGAAGAGGCTTGCCTTCCCCAACTTACTTAATGCAGCAATTTATAACACTCATCAGCCAGCAGCTAATTATCTAATACAACTTAGGAGACATTCATGTAGCTGGTAATATGTTATTTAATAACATGGCTAAACACCAGTGATGCTTTAAAACTTCTCACTCTGAAAAGCTGGGAAATAGCTCATTTCCACACAAACCCTGTGGTTGGTTGCAGCTCTACTCGAGATCGATTTTTGATTGGCTCACGCAAAGGAAATGGTCTCTGACCTAGCCGATATCGCCAGCGTGTGGTCAATATTCTCCACAATTGCCTTCCTGGAAGCCCGGCGGACACGTGGCTACCGCAGGCCTGGGCGCGACGTGGGAGGACCTAGTTCTGGTTACCGCGAGAGGGCGCTGGCGGTTCCTCGTCGCTTCAGTCTCATTTCCCATAAAGCCTCCGAGCGACCAATCAAGTGGCTGTCTCCATACCGCTTTCAAAGTCGGCGGGCCCTTCCACCAATAGGAAGGCAGATGCCGCCCTCCGCTCGAGGATTGATGGAAAGTTCCACCACTCAGCTCGCAGATCCCTGCTGCCTCCGCCCCTCTCGCTCGAGATTGATGACCCGCCTAACCAATAGAGCACGCCGGGTCGGCGGGTGGATGAACGCGGTCTTCTGTAATGGCGGAGCGTGGCGGGGACGGGGGGGACGGCGAGCGCTTCAACCCGGGGGAGCTCAGGTAAAGGGCGCCGCTCCGTGTGTCTCCGGGGCCTGCCGGCGTCCCCGCGGGTGGGCCGGCCGCGGGGATGCGGGGCGGAGGGCGGGCGGAGGCCTCGCGGCGGCCCGGGTCCGAGGACCGCATGGGGCTGGCGGAGGGGGGAAGAGGAAGGTGGCTTGAATGAGAGAGCGCTGGGCTGGGGCTGCGGCGGCGGCTGGGCCGCGGCCTCCTGCCCGTTTTCGGGGCGCTCCCGGCGGTGTTCGCGGGGGCCCAGCGCCCCTGGCGGGGCCCGGCCGGACGTTCCCGCCTCGGGGCGACGCCTGGGCCGCATGCAGCCGCCGCCCCGGCGACCTCAGCCCGCGCCGCCGCGGGCCGCGTTGTCCCCGGGGGCGCCCCCTCCGCTCCGCAGGGCGCTCCCCGGAGCCCCTCGGCCCTCCAGGCCCGGCTTCCCCGCACCCCGCGGGCCGCTGGGGTCTCCACGATCCCCCGCGATCGCCCGCTTCTCCTAACCGATCGCGGCCTGGCCTCCCTCCCCCGCCGCTCCCCTCTGTGCCCAGTAACAATAGCGGCGGCCGTTGCTGCGTCCTCGTAGGTGCCGGGAAGCGCTTCCTTAAGAGTTTGTCTCCGCTGGTCCTCACCTCCCGACCCCCGGGAGCAGCTGCTGTTCTCATTCTGCCGGCAACCAGACCGGAACCATCTTTAGTGCAGCCTCTGCTTGCCCGCGGTGCGGGCGGGGAAACTGAGGCAGGCGGCGGCCGAGGCGGTAGGACCGGGTCGCGGAGGCGGGATGGGAGCGCCAGGGAGTGGCTTTGGGAGCCCAGGGAGGGAGTCGGGCTCGGAGCCTTTGCCCTTAGAGGGAGAGGTCAGTGACCTTTCCTCTTCTGGTGCCCCAAGGCCTCTGGGGGTTCGTGATTAAGATTTTGTCAAGTAAAAGTGCCCTGGGGGGGGGGGGGGGGGGAAACACACACACAAAAAAACTTTAGTGAGGGAGAATAAAAAGAGGTACTAAGCTTTCTGGGTATTTGAGACTCCCCTCCCCCCCTCCCCCCCAGATCCACCCCCCATTGGGAAAGTGTCATTTCAGATGCTCAGCTCCCATTCCGAATTGTGCCCTTGTCAGCATCCGAAGAGGAAGAGAGAGAGCAGTCTGGCATTGTCTAGAGCTCAGGATGAAATTGTGTCAGGAAATGGGGTTTGTTTCTCAAGGTTTTATAAAGATTCTGGGTTGTCACACCCAGAAATCCCTACTTTTGGCAGGAGTGAAATCTTGTCTTCCGAGATGAATCTCAAATCCTTGTAAATACGTGTAATTGGCTTTGGTGATGAGTGATGGAGGAGTGTTGCCAGGGCCATTCCGTATCAGCGATAGGAAGGTTTATTCCTGGTTCTGATCTCAAGGTCACCTGAATTTATTTGGGGACATTCCCTTGCATCTCAGAGAGGAGAGCGTCTTCAGCTTTACAAGGAGTTGCCTTTTAGAGTTTAACAACAGTAGTCTAGACGTTGATGCAAAGCTGATTTGAGCAGGGCTTTAAATCAGGTGTTCCGTTGCAAATATTGTATGCCTAAGCCTCTTGGGTTGGAAGTTGCTTCCAAAGCATGTTGTACAGACCAGTATTTTAGTACTTTTCGTGGCTTAAGATAAATTGGCTGTTTTTTAGGCAGTCTTTTTGATGGCAGAAATTGGCCCTTAGTTTTCGTATTTTTGTATCATGTGTATCACGTGAAGGTATTTTGTGGTGTGTCTGTCTATCCGTGTCTGGCAAATAGAGTTTGGTGGTTCTATGGTAATAAATGAATATAGGTGATTTAGAGATGGTTTGCTTATTAGAACCAAATTTATTGTGTGCTATGTGAGTCACTGACGTAGGTGCTGGCAGTAGAAACTTGAACCAGACCAAAATCCTTTGGAGCACCCATACTAATTAAGATTGACCTAAATTTTGAATTAAACTAGCCACATCAAATGAGCGGGAAGTGACTTCTACAAGGTCACTGAGTAATTGGCAGAGTCTGGATTGGCCTCCCCTATGTCAGCAGCATCTTCCCATTTTGTCTCCCCTGTCAAAAGTATTTGCAGTCTTGTCTTCTCCAGTGCGGGGTTGCATATCTAGATAGAGTACCTCTAGAGAAATACATTTGTTCTTGTAAAAAAAAAATTGTTTCTATTTTTGCAAGTAGTCTTCTGTTTTCAAAAAGGTTAAAAGTGGTAGGAATGCATATAACCTGCAAGAGACAAAATTTATTTGGAGATCCAAATGTTATTCATTCCTTTATGTTGAGGATTGTTGTTCTTAGTAAAAAGCCTGCTCAGATTGGTCAGAGTCAGAGAGGCGGTCTATTAAAAAAAGAACTGGTGTTGCCTCGGAAGTGGGGGTAGTCTTATACAGCGAATATAAACCTATGTTTTAACTGTAAAATTAGGGGGTCGTCTTATACGCCGGAAAATATGGTAAGATAACTTTTAGAGTCATATTTGTATAGATCCTTTACCCAGGGTCTTAGTTTACCTATTAATACCTTATGACAAGGTACTTTCAGTCTAAATTTCCTTCATTGTAAAACAAGAATAAGATTACATTGTTGTTACTACTGACTAGTACCTTAAACAAGTTATTTTTCTGTGACATAGTTTCCTCTGTAAAACTTGTGCCAAAGTTACTTCAATGTATTGCTGTGAGGATAAAGAGTTGGTGCAAATAATGTCCATGTAATCGTTCTTGGCATATAGGAAATACCCAGTGTTCACTGTCATTATTAAAACAATTTAAAAATATATATATTTTTATTGATTTCAGAGAGGAAGGGAGAGAGAGAAAGAAATATTAATAATGAGAGAAAATCATTGATTGGCTGCCTTCTGCATGCCCCCCCACTGGGGATCAAGCACACAACCCAGGTATGTGCCCTTGACTGGAATTGAACCCAGGACCTTTTGGTCCACATGCCAACACTCTATCCACTGAGCCAAACCAGCCAGGGCTTCTTTTTTAAAAACTTTATTTTTATTAACACTGTTGACACTGTTGAAGATGTCCCCATTCCCTTCCCTCCTTGCCCATCTCCACCCAGTCCCCGCCACACTCCCCCCTCCCCTTCTTTCTGGCCATCAAAACAATAACATTTGAGCACCCACCATCCTCTACACTGGAAAGCAGCAGTATACTAAGGGGAAACTACATTATTAGTGGATATAATACAAAAGTAAGCGAGAGGTTTTTTTCTTAGCATCTTTATATATAAAAGTCCAGCCATCGGAATGGTGGAACAATCAGAATGACTGGTGGCCATGATGTGCACTGTGGCAGCCAACCAGCCTGATCTGGTCCCCTATCGGCCCCCCCAGCCTGCTCGGTCCTATGGACCCCCATAGGGGCGGGCCTGCCGGACCCCACCGATGCACAAATTTGTGCACCAGGTCTCTAGTTTATCATAATTTAAAATTCAAATTGGGTCCAGCCTGTGTGGCTTTGTGGTTGAGTGTCAACTTATGAACCAAATGAACCAGGAGATCACGGTTACATTTCCAGCGTGGACACATGCGACCCGGGCTATGGTCTTGATCCCCAGTAAGGGGAGTGCAGGAGGCTGCCAATCGATGATTCTTATCATTGATCTTTCTATCCCTCTTTCCTCTCTGAAATAAATAAAAATATATTTTAAGAAAACTCAAATTGGGTAATGAACCAGAGAGGGTCTGAGAGGCTGAGGATGGAAAAGGAGTTTGAGGAACTAAGACTGATAATTTAAAAGAGCCAGTTATATAACGATCTGGGGAAAAGCATTCCAGGCAGAGGGAACAATAAGGGCAGAGGCTTCAAGGTAAATGAACTTGACGTATTGGATCAAAAAGAAGACTGGAGCCCTACCGGGTTTGGCTCAGTGGATAGGGCATACGTCTGTGAACTGAAGGGCCCTGAGTTCGATTCTGATCAAGGGCACACGTACCTTAGTTGTGAGCTCCCAATCCTGGTCAGGTTTGCATGCGGGAGGCAGCCAATCAATTTGTCTCTCTTACATCAATGTTTCTCTCTATCCTTCCTTCTCCCTTCCATTCTCTAAAAATCAATGGAAAAATATCCTCAAGTGAGCATAAAAAATTTAAGAAAAAGGCTGGAGTCTGTAGACAGATCAAGAAGAGGCAGGTTATGTAGAGCCTGAAAATAATTATAGTAATAGTAGCTACACTATTACTGACATTAGTACCATTAAAACTTACTAGTAGTACTATTACTACACTAATATTATTGCAGCAGTAATAAAAGCTATACTTAGAGAGCACTAATGTGCTAGGTGCTGTTCCACATACTTTTATTAGCTCATTTAATCCTCACTGCAGGTTCTGGTAAAGTTGCCTGCAATGAAGCAGAGTGTGTGAAGAGCACAGGACAGGTCCAAGGTGCCGATGGAGAAAACTGAATTCTGTGTCTATTTTAGTGGCAGACTTTTGAAAGACATTTAGTCAAATTGACAACGAAGTGCCTTTAAAAAAAATGTTGTTGTTGATTTTTAGAGAAGGAAAGCAAAGAGAGAGGGAGAGAGAGAAACATTGATGTGAGAGATAAAGATCCATTGGCTGCTCTCTACTGGTGATTGAAACTGCAACCCTGGCAAGCTTTTGGTGCATGAATTTGGCTGATCCAACTGAGCTACACCCGCTAGGACTCTACATACCGTGTTTCCCCGAAAATAAGACCTACTTACAGGTTTCCTTCTGAGTGAAATATAAGGCATCCCCCCGAAAATAAGGCCCCCCTAGGCTAAACATGAGAGATTTGGTCCACTGATTCTGAAAGAAATGGAGTCACAAGAAATTCACCAGGAAATTCAGGAATTGGATTGTTATGATGATGTTCCTGAAGATGATGACATGATGGTCATTGAATAAATGAGTAAATTCTTGATACTGTAGGATTCACAGTTTGTCTGGTTTGTGTTGACAACTACCGTACTACCGTAACGTATACAGGTAATAAATTTCCTTTATTTTCATTTAACAATAAATACCATATTCTTCTTCATGGAAAAAGAAGACATCCCCTGAAAATAAGACCTAGTGCATATTTGGGAGCAAAAATTAATATAAGACACTGTCTTATTTTTGGGGAAACAGGGTAGAGCATAGTGCCAGGTTTTTGGGGGAATGAAAGTAGTGGTAGTTAAAGTGGTTTAGTGTGTATTAAGTACTCTTAACTGTTTCACAGGGATTATCTCATTGAATAGGGATATGAGATAGCTTTTATTTTTATTCCCCAGCTCATTTACATCTGAGTATTCTCAGACTCAGAATTATGTAACTAGTTGGACAACAAAAGGCAGAGCCCTGATTTGACTTTTTCATCATTCTAAAGCCTAAATGTTTAATTTCGAGCCATAACTAGGAAGTGTGACATTTCAAAGAAATAAGTACTGTTGATTTTTTTTAAAGGGGAGAGGCAGATGTACATTAAGATTAAGGTACATTATTAACTCAAGGTTGAACCAGAATATCTTTCCTTGATGGTTAACTTTGTTTCTGCACAAAAGGTTATTCAGTAATGGTAGCCATGTGTCTTTTAGGAATACATATAATTTGAGAAAGACTAATTATTCTGACATAATCCATATTCCTTTTTTTAGTCATTGTTTTTAAATTATAATTTGAGATAGGATCATTTGCAAATCTGGTTAAGTGCAGTTGGTTTATGCATTCTGGATGTTTACAACCCTAGTATTCTAGAAGGAAAATTGGTTCGTTATTAGGATTTTTTATGTCAGACTTGAGCTATGATATGGAAAATGTAGAAAAACAGTGTAATTTTAAGCAGAGAGTTGAAGTGTGGGAAATTTGGGAGAGCTTGGTGAGAAGAGAATATAAGAATAATTATCTTCGAATATACATAAAGAATATAATTGTTGCCCTAGGTTTGGCTCAGTGGATAGAGCATTGGCCCTGGGTAAGGTTATGGGTTCGATTCTGGTCAAGGGCATATACTTGGTTGCAGCATGGTTGCAGGATCTTTCTTGACCTGGGCCCTGGTCAGGGCTTGTGCAGGAAGCAACTAGTCAATGTACTTCTCTCACATGGATGTTTCTCTTTCCCTCACTGCTGTCTACTCTCCCTAAAAATCAATGGAAAAATATCCTCCAGTGAATATATTAAAAAAAAAAAAAAAAAAAAGCCAAAACAATTGTAATTGCTAATTTTTTCTTGAGCACAGAAATGTACATTTCATGAATAATGGAGAGGTTTATAGTAGCTACTGGTTAAACTGATAGGTAGGTACTTAATCGACTATGGCAAAGTATAGTAAAAACTAGAGGCCTGGTGCACGGATTTGTGCACTGGTGGGGTCCTTTCCATTTAATAGTGATCTCGTAAGCCCACTACCCTCCACCCTGTAAAAACTTTGTATTTGGATGTAATTTCAAATTTATCAAAAGATGCAAAAAATAAAGATAGTACACTTGGCATTAATATTTTACCTCTTCTGCCTTATTATTTGCTCGCATGCACTATCTCACAATCCGGAACCCCTTGGAGGATGTTACAGAGCCAGTTTCGGCTTAGTCTCTGCAGGCCAGGCTGAGGGACCACACAAGTGCACAAATCTCTGCACCAGGCTGGTTTCAGCCTGATCCCTGCAGTCCAGGCCGAAGGACCCCACCAGTGTATGAATCTGTGCACCGGGCCTCTAGTGTGCACATAAGATCTTTGGTTAATCTCTTCCCGTACTCCCTCCTTTTCCTTTGAGATTCATTGTTTCCATGCCTGTGCAGTGTTTGCCCCCTGGTGGTAAGTGCTTATCATTGCTATCAGTCAAATGGTCACTTTGGCTTTTATATGTTTAGATAATGTTTATAAGATTCTACATATCCTACTTGTGAGGTAGTGTAAGTATAATATCCCCTATTTAGGTACTCATTGGTTCATTTAACAAATATTTATTGAGGCCTACTATGTGCAGACCTAACTATGTACAGGGGGTATAAGGATAAACAGGGCAGACAGAATCCCTGCTCTAAAGGCACTTACCTATACAGTGTCAGGTAGTGTTTAAGAGATATTTGCCTGCATTTGAATCCTGGCTTTTCCACTCAACCAGCTGTGTGGCCTTGGGCAAATTATTTGACTTCAACTTGCTTTAGTGTCCTCATATATAAATGAGATTGATAATATATATCTCATAGGGTTGTCACAATGATTAAAGGACTTAAAAAGAGCTTAGAGCACTGCCTGACATATAGTAATTACTTTTAAGAATGAATAATTTTAATTTTTAAAAATAATCTTTATTGTTTAGATTATTACAGGAGGAAGAGAGAGGGATAGAGTTAGAAACATCTTTCCCCCTTCTTCCCCCAATTTTAATTTTTTTAAAAAGCACTTGTGAGAGGGAGATAGATAATAACATGTAATACTATGTGTCTGCTTATATACCATAGAGAAAATAAACCAGGGTGTTTTAGCTAGAGATTGAAGGGTTGGGTAGGGTGCAGTGTAGAGAAAGGCTTTCCATGTACTAGTGATCTTATAAGCCCGCTACCCTCCATCCTGTAAAAACTTTGTATTTGGATGTAATTTCAAATTTATCAAAAGATGCAAAAAATAAAGATAGTACACTTGATATTAATATTTTACCTCTTCTGCCTTATTATTTGCTTGCATGCATGCTCCGTTACTTTGAATTGTTTGAGGGTAAGATACATATACTGTGGCCCTATACTTTTAAATACTTAAATATGCATTTTCTAAGAATAGAAATATTTTGCCTACAGTTACCGACTTCATAAATTTATAGTGATATAATCAATACTTGAATCTGTTGTTCTTATTCTAGTGTTGTCCATTAATGCAAAAAAAAATTTTATAGCATTTCTTTTTGGGATAGGATTTGATATAGAATTAATGTTGTGTTGTCATGTCTCTTTAGCTCCTTTACATTTCCACAGCCTGCCTTTGTCTTTTATGTATAATATCCACATTTCTGAAGAATATATTCTCTGCTTCCCCCGTTTAAGTAGAACTTTCTTTTTTGTGTGTGTGTCTACTATTTCATAATTTTTTTTAAAGTAGCCACGGTGATCTAGCCACGCTTTTTTTTTTTTTTTTAATATATTTTATTGATTTTTTTACAGGAGGAAGAGAGAGGGATAGAGAGTTAGAAACATCAATGAGAGAAACATCGGATCAGCTGCCTCTTGCACACCCCCCACTGGGTATGTACCCGCAACCAGGGTACATGCCCTTGACCGGAATCAAACCCGGGACCTTTCAGTCCACAGGCTGACGCTCTATCCACTGAGCCAAACTGGTTTTGGCTATTTCATCATTATTAATTTGAGGGTATACATTCTTGCCTGGAATAGGTGATGTGTTTCTCTCAGTCACATGATGTCCATCTGTCCTTTTTAGATGATATTAATGTAGATCCACTGGTCAAGATGTTGCATGATTTCCCTATAACATAGTATTTTTTCGTCTTCCCTTGCAGTCATAAGCAGCATGCGAGGAGACGTTTTAAGATCACCTGGATATCTTCATCCAGCTTTCCTCCTAGATTTGGTTTCCATTGCTCATTCTTACTGATGCACTTTTACTGGGATGGTTGCAAAATTATGCCTTTCCATCTCTACTTGTTCTTAAGGGCCTATTGAATTCGATGTAATTAGAGATCAGACACTACATTTTGTAATTTTGAGAAAGAAATTAATTCATTGTTTTCCCCACAGGATGGCTCAACAGCAGGCCTTGAGGTTTCGAGGCCCAGCTCCCCCGCCAAATGCAGTGATGCGAGGCCCACCGCCTCTCATGCGACCTCCTCCACCTTTTGGTATGATGCGAGGCCCTCCGCCACCACCTCGGCCCCCCTTTGGACGTCCTCCTTTTGACCCAAATATGCCACCAATGCCTCCTCCAGGAGGGATCCCTCCACCTATGGGCCCTCCGCACCTTCAGGTAAAGAATACAGAGGTGGTCATTTCTTCATTGTTGTTAAGATTAATACTATATGTTAGTTTTGCCTTCAAAACTGTCTTCTTAGTTTCACTTTATAAGAAAATATAATCCATATATTAACTTGTTGCTCCAAAAGCTGTGGATTTGAATAGAAAATCAGAATAGGAATTTAGATAGAAAAATACCCTACATAGGAAACTAGGATTAAATAGAGTATTTCTTATCTGCCTTTGTCTCTGAGAATTGTCTTTAGTCCATCTTCTTTACGGGAAATGAAGTTTGAATTTTAAAGGTCTAACTGTGTTAGTTATCGCTAGTATTTATTTTTCTATTTTAGTATTTTATTATTTTTAAAATATATTTTTATTGATTTTAGAGAAAGGGGGAGCGAATGCAACATCAGTGATGAGAGAAAATCATTGATCGGCTGCCTCTTGCACACCCCCTACTGGGGATCGAGCTTATAACCCTGGGCATGTGCCCTGCCTGAGAATCATGGTTGCCTGGTTCATAGGTCGATGCTCAACCATTGAGCCACTCCAGTTGGGCACTAATTATTTTTTAATGATACATTTTATCATTAAGTATGTGTACATATGTATATATATATATTATGAGCAATTCTTGCCACAAATGAAGTCTAGAATAGAATCTAGAACAAATGCATTTTGTAAGCACATTGTTTGAATTTTTTTCTTTCCTGGAGGACAGAGGGAGTTATTTTATAATTTTAGAAACAGAATTGTGGGATTTCTTCTTTTTTTAAAATATATTTTATTGATTTTTTTACAGAGAGGAAGGGAGAGGGATAGAAAATTAGAAACATCGATGAGAGAGAAACATCAACCAGCTGCCTCCTGCACACTCCCTACTGGAGATGTGCCTGCAACCAACATACCTGCCCTTGACCAGAATTGAACCTGGGACCCTTCAGTCTGCAGGTCAACGCTCTATCCACTGAGCCAAACCAGTTAGGGCTTGGGATTTCTTTAAATAGAAAATTTTCTGGTATTTTAAACCTGAGGAACAGATCCCGCTCTAGTATATATAGACTCAATTGCTGTTTGAAATGAGGTCATGAAGGTGGCTTCTCTCAAACATCTACTTTTGTGGTTGTACTGTTTTTGTTTGGGTATGTATCTCTGTTTTCTTAGTTTAGCCAGCCTATACTGTTCTGAAACCAAGTAAATATAGTGGTATCATCTATCTTCCATTAGTTTAGATAATCAAGAATGAACTCAGTAAAGTAGCAAAAGATAATAAAGTACTTACTCCTGGAGTGATGTTAACTCTATTTAGATAGGGTATATTTATGAAAGAGACACAGGTTTTATACTTAATAATTTTATTGCCTTCCTAGTAATGAATAGCCCCTACCCCCTTAAACAAATTGTTAAAAAGTTTTATATTTTCTCTGAGATTAGAATAAGAAATAGATTTTTGACCTGTCTCTGGTATAACTTGTTATTTATGAATTTATTCTAATTTGGCCTTTAAGAGTTAAATCTACTTGCAGAATATTATAAAATGTAATGGACTGATGTAATCCTCTTATGGAAATATATCAGATGTTGTAATGGGATACTTTGCAGTGTTGTGATGCTTTTCTTGGTCTTGATATATAATTGTGTAGTTTTACATTAAATCAAAGTGATATCTAGTTAATGTGCATGAGACATATTTGGGATGGATATTTTATAGAATGTGGGTCTGTGTGCTGATGCTTGAAAGACACTAAACTGATTTTTAAAAAATCTGAATTATGGGAAAGAAAATGAAGTACAGTTTTACAGTATTAGCATGGTGTTAAGTTCCATTATCCAGATTAAGAAGCTTTGGATAACTGAAATTTATTGTTGTATATTAAAGAGAATATCTTTTAATCCCCATTCAAAATCTGTTGTTGAAATGTTAGACCATTTGTCTGCTTTGGTAAGTAAGGTATAGTAGTGACAGTTGAATTGTGTGGCTCCGAATCTTAATGTTGTGTCAATAATCATTGAAGAATGATCATGAAGGAATTATCAAAGATAGGATTGAATTAGTAATAGCTCTAGGAAATTAAAAAAAAATTTTTGTAACATATACCGTTTAAATTCTTATTTTTCACCCCTTTTCCCCAAGAATTGTCAGTTCACTCCCCTTCCATAACTCTGATACTATTATATACAACAGTTAATATTGTTCATCAGATTTTTTTTTTTTAATTTCCTTGGTTTTTAGATTCACTTGTTGATAGTTACGTATTTGTTGTTCATAATTTTTATCTTTATTCACTTTCTCTTCCAAAAGAACCCCCTTCAGCAATTCATATAATTCTGGTTTGGTGGTGATGAACTCCTTTAGTTTTTGTGTTTTTTTTTTTTGTTTGTTTGTTTTTTTTAGTGAAGCTCTTTATCTGGCATTCGATTCTGAGTGATAGCTTTGCTGGGTAGAGTATTTTTGGCTGTAGGTTCTTACTGTTCGTCACCTTGAATATTTCTTCCCATTCCCGTCTGGCCTGCATGGTTTCTGTATTTGAATGGACTGTAAAACTAGTTTGATTGCTCTTATAGTACTTTACTTTGGGGTAGAATTTAGTAATAATTTGAAAGGGAAAAAAGGATAAATACAAGTGACCATTACTGTTCTTGTGAATTGAATTAACAGAGACCGCCTTTCATGCCTCCACCCATGGGAACCATGCCTCCTCCTCCGGGTATGATGTTTCCACCAGGAATGCCTCCTGTGACTGCCCCTGGCACTCCAGCACTGCCTCCAACTGAGGAGATATGGGTTGAAAATAAAACGCCAGATGGGAAGGTAAATTAAAAAATATATTTTGTTTGTTAACTCCTTAGTGACAAAAGAGTAAAACTCTTAGTGACAGAAGAGTTCTGGCAGATTGGGATCAATGAGAATATTCTTGCCAATTAAGAATGAGCCTGGGATAAGCAGGACGTGGGGTACATACAGCTTGATGAAAGTCTTAGTGGGTTGGACTTCCACGCTAGACTAGAATGCTTACATATCTGTTTACCTGTGATTCTGGAAGCTTGTATTTTAAATAGGTATTATGGCTCCTCAAAACAACTCTTAAGGTTTAGTATTCACTAGGAAGACTCATGGGACTCGGCATGTAGTTGTACTCGCAGCTAATGGGACTCGGCATGTAGTTGTACTCGCAGTTGTAATTGCAGTGGAAGGGTACAAAGCAAAACCAGCAAAGAGAAAAAGGTGATGGGAGTCTATAGGAAATGGATCACAAGCTTCCAAGAGTCCACTCTTTGGAAGCACATAGAATATGTATAATTTCTCCAGCATGGAATTGTTACAAAATACTTGAAGGGTTGTCTACCAGAGAAGCTCATCTGAGCTGGGGAGTCAAGGGATTTCAAATGGGGACTGGCACCCTTTGCTTAGCACATACCAAAATTCCAGACTCCCAGAGGGAAAGCAGGCATTTAAATATATTTTATTGATTTTACACAGAGAGGAATTGAGAGGGACAGAGAGTTAGAAATGTCGATGAGAGAGAAACATCGACCAGCTGCCTCTTACACACTCCCCCACTGGGGATGTGCCCGCAACCAAGGTACATTGCCCTTGACCGGAATCGAGCCTGGGACCTTTCAGTCCGCAGGCTGACGCTCTATCCACTGAGCCAAACAAACCAGTCCCGTTGGGAAAGCAGGCATTTAGCATGAACTGCATTTTTTGTGTAAACAATCTAGGCACAGTGAGCTGCTGTTCTTACCAGTTAGGAAATGGTGGTAACCCTCCCAAAACTCAAGTTTCCAGATGCAAGCCAAGGGTCAACTTTGTAAGCAGGGCTTTCTAAGGATAGCTGTATTAACTGCACAAAAATAATCTATGTGTTAAAAATATAGTGTCTCATTATAGAAAATTAGGAGGGGAAAATTACCTATGTTAGCATAAAAATGCGAGCAGCCAATTTTGATATGTTTTCTCTTTTCTAAGTTTTATTTCCCCCAATAACTTAATTTTAAGGCAAAATGTAGTTGCATTACCGGTTTTTAATGACAGTTGACAGATTCTATGATACCAGTGATTTTGCTTCCTCTGCAGGTTTATTATTATAATGCTCGGACACGTGAATCTGCCTGGAGCAAGCCAGATGGAGTTAAGGTTATTCAGCAGTCAGAACTGACACCTATGCTTGCAGCCCAGGCCCAGGTTCAGGCCCAGGCCCAAGCCCAGGCCCAAGCGCAAGCCCAGGCCCAGGCCCAGGCGCAGGCACAGGCGCAAGCTCAGGCCCAGGCCCAAGCTCAGGCCCAGGCCCAGGCCCAGGCTCAGGCGCAAGCACAGGCCCAGGCTCAGGCCCAGGCCCAGGCACAAGCACAGGCTCAGGCCCAGGCCCAGGCGCAAGTGCAAGCACAAGCAGTAGGAGCTTCCACCCCTACGACCAGTAGCCCAGCGCCTGCAGTATCCACCTCAACATCATCATCCACCCCATCCTCTACCACTTCTACCACGACAACTGCCTCTTCGGTTTCGCAGACAGTATCAAGTGAGTACCAGTCAGCATGTGTTTTTATTTAGCAGCTAGGGAAATGGACAAGTAGGGACTGCATTCTAAAATGATCCTAGTGTTTCAGTATTATCCTTGATGTTATTATAAAACATTTTTGACATAAGACTTCTGACGATAGAAAAACAGAAACATACATTAGTAGAAGAAATTATTTGCGTACTTGTAATTCACGAAGCTAAACTGGGGAAGTGCAGTTAGCTATTCAACTTTGCTAACAATAATGCTGGATGCTGTGAGCTTTGCAGAGTAAGTGGAAGTCTTGGTCCCTATCTTACAGAACGTCCAGTTTTTCTCATTGAGGAGGCCAGCATAATGCATGTAAAATAGTGTGCAAAATTTACAGCGAAAATAGGAGGTGTAACAATTTGAGAAAACTGACAGGTTAGTGGATTGCATGGGTCTTTAGGTTGATCAAGAAGGATTTGTGGTAGAATTTGAGTAAGTTCAAAAGTAAAGAGAGGTCTCTTAAATAGAGAGGAACAGCATCCAGTTCAGGAAATGAGTATAATTGTAGTTTGGGGAATTGTTAAGGTACTCTTTTGAGGTGGGAAGGTTTATTTTGGTTAATAAATAAGAGTGAGATCAGATTATGAAGAGTTTTAAGAACCAGGCAAATGATGAGTCAGGTAGGCAATAGGGAGAGATGCAGTGTTCTGGAAGATTTTTCTGATGCTCACTTTTTGGGTAGTGTTGAAATTGGAAACTTACTAGGAACTTTTTAGTAATATCATTTAGAGGTGAAAAGATCTTATAATGGGACATAGGCAGATGAAATGAGGAGTTGAAAAAGAAGTGGTCAAAATGTAAGAGAATTTTCAGGTATAAAGTTACAGAGGCCCAAAGGTTAGATCTTTTCTAAAATATGAGAGGTGCTTAATAGCAGTTTTTAGGGATGAAGAAAGAAGAATATATTAGTATGCTTAAAAGATTGTCGTTAATATTTATACCACTACTTTTTATTTGGTGCTACTTATTCTACAGCTGAGATTGAGCCCTAGAATATTTAAATAATGATTTTATGGTAGTTATGAAAATACGTGTCTCCGCAAGGTTATTACAATTTGGATTATTTGCTACATGGATAATAGAGATGAGAATAAGAAAATAAAGTGTTCCTTTCCCCAATATTTTAGGGACTGGGGAATTACTACTATATAGTACATTGTAAGGAATATGTATATGAGAGAAATTTAATAATAGAATCAAATTTGAATTTATTTTATTGATACAAGAAGTAACCTATAAGAATAAGGTACTAGGTGTAATGTGGAGGCAGTTTTTTTAAAGGCCCTACTTGATAATTTTTAGACAAAAATATACTTAATAGGAAGATAAATTCTGATATGGAAATACAGGGAATTCTGATGTGGAAGTTAACAGCTAGCTGGTTGAGGGTTTTTGCCCTTTTATAAGCTAGTCTTCTATGTGGCAAGGCAGAAAACTGCCGGCTTTTATGGGGTGCCTGTGGTGGTAATGGGAGAGGGGGATTGATAAGAGCAGTATGGTTCTATGTGGAGGCTCTGCTGTTTTGTTTTCTGCTTAGGAAGGAGAACTACTTTGTTTTAAGGATAGTGGGTAGCCAAACACTTTATTCTATGTACATTCCATTTCTATGTCAGGGTGGTCTTCAGGCCCATAGCTATCTTGTGATTATCAACTGTTCTTTTCAGAACACTCCGATTTGTCATTTTGTGCACTCTCCCTCGGTGATTGGGAGGCCTTTATTCTAAGGGCAGAATACAGAATAGCAAAATCATGTTCTTTTTACTCAGAAAGATATCAAAATTACAATATTAATTTTGATATCTTTCTGAGAACTCCTGGTGTCTATTTTTATTTTACTTGATCCGTTGTCATGAAGTATTGTCATGCTACAGTAATTAAAATTTCTCCATCTGTTTTGCAGTCACTTTTTTAGTTGAGATCTGAGGCTGGGTTAGTAATAAATTTGGAGACCTAGTGTTTCAGTTATCTTAGCAGATAGAATTAGTAGGAATTTATCTACAATAAAGTCCTAACTGCCATTTTCCTAGTTTCCATTTAATTCTTTTATTACCTTTATCCTTTTTCTCTCATGACTTATTGCCAGTAATCAAATCAGAAAATCCTTTATCAGCAAGAGAAATGGGTTGAATTAAATACTTTTTGCCATCTCCATTGGTATTCCTTTCCACTTAAATTTGATGCCTTTATAACATTTTATTTTCTGACTACAGTAATTTGTACAAAACTTTGGTATTTATATCTACATACTATTACCATAATATTTTTAAAAGATGTAATTCTGGGAACTGTAGTATAGACCTGGGAAAATGGAAATAAAAATTAAGATATTTGTAATTTAAACTCCAGATGAATATAAACTCATTTTATCCTGTTCAAGTTTGTGAAAAATGCTGACAAATCTTACTTCTCAGAGAAGTTGGGCAGAATAACTAGATGTATTTTCAGCCATTACAATAGATTACAAATGCTAAATGGTATATGTATGGGACTGGGCAAATGTTGCATGTAATTTGTATTTTTCACAATGTTATAAAATTATATTAATATGATACTGTACCCTAAGGCTAGGTCTATGCTAGACCAACAATTCATTCCTGGGCCCCTGAAGATACTTGTTTGGCCCTGCTGTCTATTTAGCCAAGGTGAGTCCCTTATTAACAAGTATGAAATTGCTCACATCTTCCCAGCCTAAGTGAGTTTTTTCATTATTAGGTGCTGAAAAAAAGATACTGACATATTTTGGTGTCAGTTGGAGTACCGGGTGATTTGTGTTAAACAGTGTGCTTTTTCTTAGAATAAAACATTAGGAAAGCACTGCTTTATTATATTTAATTTGATAAATTTAGTCTTAGTTCAATATAGGTAGAGTTTGACAGAGAAAGATGAAGTATTTCTTACCAATGAGTCACCAAAATGAATTTTTGTTTTGGGTTATGAATTAATAACAAAAATGTTTTGTAATATTTGAGAATTGAAACTTTAAGAAATAGGAATTTTATTTTCAGGTCACAATTTGATTGTGAATGTAATTACTAGGGATAAAATATTTTAATTTTGATATTTAAAAGTAATATATTAGCCAAACCAAATTATCCTGAATTTCTCATTCTCTTAGTCTCTTATACTGGAAACCTGAGTTTATTTTTTCTTTTCTTTTTTCTTTTGAAATAATTATAGAGAAACCCAAGTTGTTTTTTATTCCATTTGTTTCTATCCAGTCAGTCATTAGTTATTGCATTTCTTTTTCTCTGTTCTTTTTTGCTGGGACAAATCCAGATATGTTGAAATTGATTTTCCCACCTTTGTTATTTCTTTTTTCTTATGCATCTGTCAAGTTAATTCATCAAATGAACACTGATTATTCTTCAAAACAGAAACCTTGATTCAGCCTCCCCAAACGCCTTTTACATTCACGAAATCATACAAATTATACGTGAATACATTCTTGTTAAAAATTCAAAGTCTAAAGAAGCATATGTAAAAAAGTGAAAGGTGTATATACACAGATGTAATGAGTTAATATATTTTGGTGTGCATTCTTTTAGATCATTTTTCTACATTTATAAAAGTTCTTTCCTTCCCCTACCTAGTGAAGTATATACTCCTTAGTCTTTTGTTCAAGGCCTTCAACTTTGTGCCTCTAGCCTACTTTTCCAGCCATAACTCACTAGTTCTGTTGGTATGCCTAGTGTTTTACTGGTTGACTGATTGCCTTCTGTTTCATAAATAGTTCCTGGTTGTTTCCTAATCTTTGCTTTTATTTATTTCCACTATTTATTTTCTCTTTCCACTTTGTCATTTTCCTTGTTGAAATCCTAATCTATCAAGGTCTGCCATCACAGCATAAAATTTTCTGTACCTCTCTGTTAAAATTGGTCTTTGGGTCTTGATTTTCATGCCTATACATTTATCCCATTTCTCTTTGTATTTTAGTTACATTTTATATTTCTTTTAACTATTTTCAAGCTTCTTGAAGACAGAGACCTTGTTACAAATTTCTTGCAGTGCATGGAATGGGCCCTTAAATACTGACTGAATGAGTGAATGATGAATGAATAGAGTAAAATGGTTTATGAAGGGGTGATACATATTTTTGTTTTATCTTTTATCAGCACCCACAACACAAGATCAGACCCCAAGTTCTGCTGTTTCAGTTGCTACGCCTACAGTTAGTGTTTCAACTCCTGCTCCTACAGCCACACCTGTGCAAAATGTTCCCCAGCCGCACCCCCAGACGTTACCTCCTGCTGTCCCTCATTCAGTACCTCAGCCAGCAGCAGCGATACCTGCTTTTCCACCAGTAATGGTACCTCCGTTTCGTGTTCCCCTTCCTGGCATGCCAATTCCGCTCCCAGGTAAGCCAATAGATTATAATAATCTTTCCAGCTATGTTTTCATACTGTCAGTTTTCTCATGTGTCTGTTGCATTTGAAATTTGCCTTGAATCTCACCTGTTTGAAACGTTTTTGAACGATTCATGGCTAACTGCAATATTTTTTCTTCGGTTTTGATAAATGTCCTTTTTGTTGTTGTTTACATGTCTTAAGATCAGAGCCACATTTAAAGTTACACTCATTTTAGATAATGGCCTCAATGAATTAAAAATAATTATCTTGTGTAAATATATCCTAAATGCAGTATTATTAAGGAATTGAGTCTATGAAGTTGAGAAATCCTAAGTCATTGATAAGTAACACAGGTTGAGCTATTTATTATATATTGTGCATGGTTCTGAGCACTTTACATGTAATTAATTTAATTTTCACCACCATCTTATGAGGTAGGTACACAGAGCTCATAAGTGATGGTGTTGGATTTGAGTTTGGGCATTTCAGATCAAAGTGCTATGTCCTTAATAACTATGCTATATTGGAATGAAAATGTGAGTCACTTAACTGTAAAAAAAAAAGTATCTAAAATAGAAATCAGAAGTTTCCCTTCTAACAATTGTGAAGTAAAGTATAAATATTTAGATAATTATGGTGAATTCATGGTTCTGTGTTGTGTTTTTTTGTCTTAAGGGGAATTGTTACATCTAGAAAAGGAATAAAAAGATTGTGGAGTATAATTCTTGGATGCATTAAGCAGTGATAATGTTGGGCATCCTAATTTGAATGCATTTGCTGTTATTAAACACATTTAATTCTTAATACGAGGTCTATTCTAGTATTATAGTTGAAAACTATGCTGTAGATAAAGTTCATAGGGCTAATTTGTATAAAAGATTAATAGAACCTAGAGATCTTGTCTCCCAATTTTACATTTTTGCCACTATCATTACCACTTTGTTGTACTAGCTTCTGTGTAAGAATAGGATTGTGATATAGCTGTTTCTTAGATTTATGCACATTTTAATTATCATTATTGCTCTATTGTTTTTTTTTTCCTGTGACTACTTTGAAAAGAGCACTTTCAGAATTTCATCTTGCAAGAAAGAAACCAAAAACTTTCAAGAATTGATGGTGTGTGTTGTTTTTGTTTTTTGTTTTGTACTTTTTACATGTTGACATAGTGTTAGATAATTAATGCCCAATATAATGTTTATACAACCAAAAATGTTTTCTCTTATAGTAGGGATTACTCATTTTCTAAATTAAATTTAAAAGTAGCTGGATTAGTTTTCTCTTTGGACATACTTTTTGTAGAAAACTAACTGGTAGAGAATAGCTTGATATTCTTGATAACTCTTACAACCTTGGTCGTCTTTAGGGTCAGATCCTGGATTTTGAGTGATGTCTGAAAGTTGGGGTTTTTGATTCTATTGAGAGAAAATTGAGAGGTTGCATAATAACATTATTTGAAAGGCTATCATCTATAGAGGACTTTCATTTTGCTTTAGAGATTTTTAATGGGATCAGTGGGTGAAAGGTACAGAGTAGCAAAATTCATTTCTATAGAAAGTGGAATTTTTGTCACAAAATTCTTTCAGTTATAGTTCCATTTTGATGTCATGGTCTTTCTTCTCTGACCCTATCAATCAAATGTTAGAACAGATGGTGGTGACCACTTGACCAAATAAGGAGGTACCTATGAAGTTTTTAAGTAAAAGGCATTTAATAAATGGCAGACCCTAAGGGCATTTTGTAGATTGATTGGAAGAGAATTTGAGTTATTCTGTAAAATTTTGCATAAGATAAGATCTTTTAGAGAGGGAGCTAGTGTTCTATAGAAAGTATTATTCATATTTATTTATATAACAAGGCATCTTTTATATTAATGTTCATTCATTTTCTCATTTTCCTTTTAATTTGTTCCTCCACTGTAATCTAGTTTCAGTGGTTGAGCGTCGATCTATGAATTGAGTCACAATTTGATTTCTAGTCAGAGCACATGCCTGGAGAACAAGCTCAATTCCCAATAGGCTGTGTGCAGAAGGCTGCCACATTTCTGTCTCTCTCCCTCTCCCTTCTTCTCTGAAATCAATAAAAATACATTTAAAAGAAAAGACTTGCTTTTCTCTTTTCCAAGTCTTTGGTCTTATGTACAGTGACATCTATCTCATTGTAAATTATGAGAATTATATTAATTTGGCTTTAAGGTGAAAAGGAGGGATTTGGATTTATCTTGGAGCTTTATTTTTTTAAATATATTTTATTGATTTTGTACAGAGAGGAAGGGAGAGAGATAGAGAGCTAGAAACATCGATGAGAGAGAGTCATCGATCAGCTGCCTCTTGCACACCCCCTACTGGGGATATGCCCGCAGCCAAGGTACATGCCCTTGACCAGAATGGAACCTGGGTCCCTTTAGTCCCCAAGCCGACACTATCCATTGAGCCAAACCGGTCTCAGCTATCTTGGAGCTTTAAATGCTGCTGAATTAGCAATGTGGTTCTAATGGGGATGGTTAAGGAAGGGATAGTCAAACAAGATGAAGAAAAAGTGGGGAAGACTTAGGTAAAATATTGGCATAAGTGGTGGAAATGGGCATAGTAAATTGGATTAGGATTTTTACCTCTAAAACTAAAATCTTATTTGGAATTTTAAAAAACTTACTGTCAGTGACATGAGAATTATCCAAAATGCTAAATGGAATTTTAAAATTTCCTAATACAACATAATTTGAGGATAGAATTGTGTCTAAGTTGAACAGATGCTCCCTTTATTTTGTTTTACTTTATTTTTTATGGACTACAAAATGATTGATTTTCTTTCTTTTTTTTTCTTTTTTTTTTTTTTAGGGGGTGGGGGGAGGGAAAGAAACAGTGATAGAGGGAAACATCAGTTTGTTGTTCCATCCATCCATATATGTATTCATTGGTTGGTTCTTGTGTGTATCCTGACTGGGGATTGAACCCACAATGTTGGTGTATTGGGACGATGCTCTAACTGAGCTACCCAGCCAATGCTTCCTTTTAAAAGAAGGTTAAATATTTATATGTGGGGTTATTTTGTGTCTTCATGATATGCATGTAATAATCACCCAAAGAGAAAACCTTTTAACATGAGGAGTAACACGTGACCTTTCAGTAGTTTATATGTTGATAGTCAAATACAAGAGTGTTATATTGCCCTGATTGATATTTAACAATGACAGATGCCTAAATGCAAATACAAAGATACTTTGTTTTCTTCTGTTTAAGACATATAGTTAAAATTACTTTGGGGGGGTTTGGTTTTGGAGAACAGTTTTTGAGAATAAGTTTATGTACATAGTAGGACCAAAAGTAGGTTTACAGTTGTGAGAATGCCAAAGTTTATTCTTGTATTATTATTTGTATTACAACTGTAAATCTGCATTTGTTCCCTCCCAGCCCCCCTGTATTTTGGGATTTGAATTTCTAGTGCTGACTTAATAGGTTCAGTGGTCCTGCAGATGGCAGCATTTATACTAATTTAATCTTAATACATGAACTTTTTTACCAAATGAATTTTTCCATTGCTTTCTTTAAGCAGAAAATAAAACTATACATATAACTTTATTCAGCATGCTTTTATGGTCAGTACTTTTGTTGTAGTCTCAGTTAATAGAAAGTTTAGCTTTGATATTCTTTAAAATAGTAATAAAGAAAAAAAGGCACTTTTTAAAAAATTGGTAGTATTTTTGTGTGTGTGTGCGTGAACATAGGTACATTATATACAAATTCAGGGGTTTAATTTTTGTCGGAGAAATTTCTTTTCCAGTACTTTAGGGGGGAAAGAAAAATTAGGAATAATTTCTTTTCCAGTACTTTAGGGGGGAAAGAAAAATTAGGAATAATTTCTTTTCCAGTACTTTAGTGGGGAAAGAAAATAATTCTTTATTTTAAATGTTATTGGTACCAAACTAGGTTTAGTGTTTTTTTAGCCAAAACAAATAGAAAATTAAATTAAATTCCCTACCCTTTTACTTTATCCTTTAGCTTTTTCCTTTAAAAATATATTTAATTCACTCTTAATTTGAATGTTCTCAATTAGCCTTAGTTTTTCAGCTTTTCTTTTCATTCCCTTTTTATATCACCATTGTAATGCATCATGAGTCTTCATTCTTCTAAGAACTGTACATAATTTCCATTCTTTAATACAAGTGCTACCTCTTTAGCTGGCTTAAATGATAGAGGTTTCTGAAGCAAAATAGCCCATGTATGTAGTCATTAATGAGATGAAAGGGCTGTGTTTTCTTTAATGTGTTAGCCTGCCTTCACAAGGCACTGAATAGGGCAGGCACCGAACATGGATATTTTGTCATTAGTTGAACGCTACCCTACTCTTCATCTTTGCCCTTTTATTTACAGTGGAATATTTTAATTCATCTCATATCCTTTTTTCTTCCTTTCCCTCTCATCCTTTTTGTTCTGTCTTATCTTTTTCTATTCCTGCATGGTTATGCTCCAGGCCTCAGCTTCTGCATGTAGTTCTCAACTTAGAAGCAGCAGAGAAAGTGTCTTGTCATTGTCATGCTGCATCTGCCTGTCACTGGTATCTAAGCAACAGCAGCATGGGTTTGATGTCCTGTGAGAAAGGGTCCCAGTGAGAACCTGTTAGGTATATGTAATGAAGGGGCTTTCCTTTGTTGAATTTAAATTTCTAGACTCCTTCAAATATTATCAGAGCTGGTTGATAAAAAGGTAATTGATGCTATAATTTAGAATTATCATTGGATTTGGCGCCACTTCCCACAAAATGTCAAACAAAAAGAAATTTTATTCCATTCTTGGAAATAGCATTCTAAATTGTAGTGGTAAATTATTTTCCTGAATCCCAGTGGTAGCCGACATACAATGGCAGCTTTCCAACATATGCTTGCTTATCCATTTTACAGGTGTAGCAATGATGCAAATAGTCAGCTGCCCGTATGTAAAGACAGTCGCTACCACCAAGACCGGTAATTTTTAAAACCATCTTAGTTTGTTTTGTCTGTAAGTTGGCATGGTAGTGAATGTTGTTGTTTATTCTTTTATTTATTTTTGCCCAAGTGAGTGGATTTTTTTATATTTTTCTTTTTAATGAGCAGTATAAATGCAGTTGTCATATTTGGCCAACACTTGATTTTCCCAATTGCCTGTAGTATTAGCTTCTTTGGTTTACAAAAGTAAATAAGGTCAGATCACTTAATTTGAATAATAAGTGTAAACAACTTCATTCTCATATTCATAACATTTAATTTTATTTTTTGATGTGTGTTTTTAAGTTAAATATAAAAAAATCATTTCCATGTGTAAAGTGATGTGATTATGCTTGCATGCTAGTGAGTATTTGTGTGTGTGTGTGTGTGTGTGTGTGTGAATATTTGTGTGTATTGTATAAATTTACATTTTAAAGTTATTGAAGATAACTACCCAAAACCTAAATTCTAGTATAGGACTTGAGGATTTTTCTATTTAATTCACCTATTCTTAATTATATTATTTATGTAATAACAACTTTTTTAGTTATCTTGTAAAATTACAAAATCTGGCTTACCTTTTAAAACTTTTATTTTTGTTTTTATATTTTTAAGGAAAAGCCTAAACTGAGTGACAGTTTATAGCGATATTTGACTTAACCACTTAATATTTAAAGTAGATTTAATAATAAACTCAGTGATTTACTTTAAGCTGAGAATTTTATTCAGACCCTTTTAGATTCCTTAGAATTAGAAAATAATTTTGTCTCAAGACATATACTCAGTAAATATGCTCATTGACTTTATTTTACTACAATCTGAGAAGTCCTTATAAAATATATTTCTGTTAATAAGTAGAGAATGTACCATGATTTTTATAATTTATTATTTGAGAGTTCATCAGAGGTGTGACTCAAATTTCTGACTGTTCTTAAGGTACTTCTTGGGTTGAATATATGCATCTAATTGAATTTAGCCATTAGAAATGAACCAGGGAAGTAGATTTAAGTAATTAAGTCACATTTTATGTGAATTTTTTAAATTCCAACTGGCTCATTCTTTATTAATATTTAATAGATTTAGCTCATATTTAAAGTTTTATTTTGAATTGCAATTTGATACTTGGGTCTAACTTTTTATTCTTCTTCTTTTAGGTGTGTTGCCAGGAATGGCCCCTCCTATTGTACCCATGATACATCCCCAGGTTGCTATTGCAGCTTCACCTGCTACCTTAGCTGGAGCAACAGCTATTTCTGAGTGGACTGAATATAAAACAGCAGATGGGAAGACATATTATTATAATAATAGAACATTAGAATCAACCTGGGAAAAACCCCAAGAACTGAAAGAAAAAGGTATAGTTTAATGACTTGGTGAGACATAATATAAACGATGATATTATAAATGAAGGCTATTTGAAATTTTGAGTTAATTCCTTTCTGACACATTTGAGGAATTTTCTAGTTGGATTATTTATTCTTACTGAATAAACATCTATTACAGTTCATATACTACATGTTTGTTCCATCATTTTTCCATCTGGAGAAATTAAATTATACCTACATACAAATACATATTTTTACTATTACCAGGAATTGCATAATTTTGTTGTATAATTATTGATATCATTATTAAGATTAATAGTACTGATCAGGAAGGAATGTTTGTATTGTATATATTCTGAAACATGGTAAAAAATTTAGGCAATTGAAGTCTTGGATAAAGAAAACTAATAATTTTTTATACTGCAAGTTTGTTTCTGTTCCTAAGTATCTTAATATTTTGTCCCTTTTAGCAAAATGAATACTATAAAAGATATACTGAATGAACTGAAATCAGTACTTCTTTTTAGTGACAGTTTCCTGATTGGCATAGCAAGGTATTTGAAGTTGAGTGTTATAATAGATTCATATTAATGATATTATAAGGAAAAACATTTTATTTTTATGGTTAGTAACTTCTAGTTATGGAATGCCTTAACTGCTTAGTTTCTGAAAGCTTTTGGAAAATTACATCAAAACCATGACGTGACATTATCTTAACTTTTTAAATAGAAAAATTAGAAGAGAAGATTAAAGAGCCAATTAAAGAACCTTCTGAAGAACCTTTGCCCATGGAAACGGAGGAGGAGGATCCTAAAGAAGAGCCAATAAAAGAGATCAAGGAGGTAAAGGCTGCAGCCTGTTAGCATGGCAGCCGGCAGTGATTGTTGGGTACAAGTTACTTGTAACTGAAGAGTCATTTGAAATAGTTTTAGATAATTGTTATACATTTGATTTAAGAAATGTTAGTGTCCCTTGAAGTTTCTAATTCAGTTTTTCCTCTGAAAGTTTGATTAGACGACTACTTTTAGTAAATTAAGGCCTATAGAAAGAAAGGGCCTTAGACCAGAGCTTGAATCTGATATCCACCCTCCTGACTTACAGACTGGTACATGGTAAAGTTATGAGTACAAATGCATATTTGAGGAATGTTCATTCTATTTCATCTGTCCTGGCATGGCATGGTCTCCATACAGCATTAAAAGACCTCTGGTTTTAGGAAACTTCTTTTATTTGGTGAGGGAACAATGGTAGTCATGTTTTATTAGTAAGGAAGTTAACAAAAAAAGGAAATGACCTTAAATGAAGAGTTCTCCTTTAATTTTGTATACTGTATTCCCCATTACGGCTTCTAGCAGATGGTTAGTTCATCTGTAAGATAGGACCATCTGCTGTTGCTGGGATCTGCTCTATTGGAATTTGCCTGTGTCTAGAGGGCCAGGATTTAGAACATTATTAAACACTAGAGGGCTGGTGCGTGAATTCGTGCACGGGTGGGGTCCCTCTGGGTGGCCTGCAGGGATCTGGCTAGAACCGATAGTCCAACGCCCCCTGCAGCTCCTACCTGCTGCTCCTGCTCATTCTGGTGCCACTGTGCCTGCCATAATTGATAGGAGAGGCTCGTGTTGCCATAGCAGCACTCACCAGCCATGAGCCCTGTGTCTGGCACCTTCCCAAGGGGAGTGGCCTGTGGGATGGGGCTGAAACCAGCTCTCTGACATCCCCCAAGGGGTCCTGGATTGCGAGGGTGCAGGCCAGGCTGAAGGACCCCACCAGTGGGCCAAGAAGGCACCATGGGAGAGCTCCAGGGTGTGTTTGGCCCATCTTGCTCAGTCCTGATTGGCCAGACCCCAGCAGCAAGTTAACCTACCAATCAGAGCAGCTGTCACATGGTGGTCAGTGCACATCATTATATAGGATTTCTACTTAGAGTCTCCCCTTCCTGTACTAGTAGCAAACCTCCTGTTGGTTGCACTTTGAGGTATTTGTAGATACTTATATTTGTGGAACATTCTAGTAAACTTTTATGATATTAATAAAATAGGAGAAATATCATTTCCCATAGGAACCCAAAGAAGAAGAGATGACCGAAGAAGAAAAGGCTGCCCAAAAGGCAAAGCCAGTAGCTACTACCCCTATTCCTGGTACTCCATGGTATGTACTTGGTTTAATTACAAAGTGTTTATTTAAATAGATTTTTGTTGATTTCAGAGAGGAAGGAAGAGGGAGGAGAGAGAGAGATATTATAGAAACATCAATGATGAGAGAGAATCATTAATCAGCTACCTTCTGCACGCCCCACAGTGAGAATCGAGCCTGCAACTCAGGCTTTTGCCCTTACCAGAAATCAAACCCTGATTTTCTGGTTTATAGGTTGGCACTCAACCACTGATCCAGCCAGCCAGGCTTTTATTTATTTGCCATACTTTTTTTGTTACATGGTTTATCCTATAGAAAGAAAAAGTATATTTCAAATATATATTTTTATTTGCTGAATATTTTGGTTTTTGTTTGTTGTAAAACTCAGTTGCTGTGGTGTCTTCCTTCATCGTGCTTCTGTTAATGTTTATTGTTCTTAATTATAGACTTGAACCGCATTGTGAGATTCTGAATCTATTGTGTAGTGTTTAAAATTTGCTTATGTATATATACTTATATTTGATTATGTTTCTAGAACTATGCGAAATTATGTCTTTTTATTTAATTGTTGAAGGCTACTTTTTGTTTTGTTTGGTTTTCCCTTTTTATATTTTTTAATCCTCACTGGAGGATATTTCCCCCCCCCCCCCCCCTTTTTTTTTTTTTTAAGAGAGAGTGGAAGGGAGACGGAAAGACAGAGAAACACATTGATTGATTGATTGATTGATTGATTGCCTCCCGCATGCCGGGACTAGGTCTGGGAGCCAGCAACTGAGGTACATGCCCTTGACCGGAATTGAACCCGGGACCTTTCAGTCCGAAGGCTGGTGCTCAATCCACTGAGCAAAACCAGCTAACACTGATTCTTCCTTTTCTTTATCTCTCCACATTAGTGCTTTCTCTCCTGTTCCTGCTGCAACTTAATCCATATATAGTCCCACATTCCAGTAAATTGGCTTATAATCTATAAGCTTCCCCTCAAACTTGTTTATTTTGCTTTTTCCTCCTTGTTTTTGTTGTAGAAAAAATAAACATGTTTGTTTATAGAGTCCTACAGTTTGGATTTTGTATTAGCATCTATATGCTATTAGAGTTCTTCATTTCTGAATTTTCTTCAAACCAGCAAGCAGATACCGAGATGTGATCAGATTCAGGTTTGATCCTTTTGGCAAGTCAAGTTCTTAAGAGATGATGTGCCTTTCCCCCAGGGTGCACCGAGGTGTTTCTTTGTGTGATGTTACCAGTCATTGCTGATTATTTGTTGTCTAGATCAGTGGTTTTCAAAGAGGAGTAACTTTGCCACTCCCATCCCCCCATCAGGGGATGTTTGGTAATATCTAGAGTCATATTTGCTTATCATAACTTGGAAGGCATTAGTAGCATCTGCTAGTAACATCTAGTGGGTAGAGGCCAGGGATACTTCTTAAACATCCTGCCATGCAGAGCACAGCTCCCTACAAGAAGGAATTATTTGGCCCAAAATGCCAGTAGTGCTGAATTGCAAAACATGGCCTAAATCCATTAAATCAGTAAGTGGTGGTAATGTGTTTCTGATATTCTTTTTCCAGGCATTAATTGGAATATTTAAGAGATGCTTCCCTTTAACAAATTGCATAGGAAAGAAAGGATATACCAGTTTTCAGAATAATGAGTTGGTTTGAGTATTACAAATTCATAGATTTAAATATATTTTATGTTTCTATGAATTCTACTTATGATGATTGTTGATGTACAGTTTCATCTTTGGTTTGGTAAAGCCTCTTAAGATTGACTCTTGAGGGTTTTTTTGTTTAGCTTTGTTACCACCCTGTCTTTGATACCTTCCTTGCATCCTTACAGGATGTTCCTGGCTTATCTCATATATTTCCTGTCTCATCTAGATTTAGCCATTTCACCAAGGAGCACTGGTTCCTTTTTGTGGGAAGTGGCATATATAGGCCTGAGTGTGGGATTTAGAGATGTTACTTTACAGAATTAGTCATTATTTTGTGACCTCTTTGGTAGACACAGGTGGATACTTATTTATACGTATTTGTATTGATTTCTTAGGAAATGAGGGAGGGCAAAGGGGAGAGAGGGAGAAACATTGACTAGTTGCCTCCTGTATATGCCCTGACTCGGGATTGAATCTGCACCCTGGTTTGAACCCATACCCTGGTTTATATGTCTTAACTGGGAATCGAACCTGTGACCCTTTGAAGCATTCCATTTCCTTTCCCACCCACCAAAAGCCACCTATATGTTTTTCGTGCTTTTACAACCCATCTGAATATAGGTATTCTCTACTTTTTTAAATTTGTCATATGCATTTCACCTTTAGAAAAGACCTACGTTAGTACCTGTTTTCACTAAAAGAAATCCAAAGAGGATTTTTGTTTTTTAAGAAAAAAGGTGAAAAGCAAAAATAGTGTTCAGTATTTGTTTTCCAGCAGCTAGAATGGCCTCACCAAGTTCTTTCCCTGGAAAATACAGTCAGTATCTCAGCATCAAGCTGTCATAGCTTTCAACTGTGTGTCTGTGAGCATCTGTAGGATTTGTTTTATGGATCTGTTAGCAAGATGTGTCCTAAGGTGTCAGAAAAGACACCCAAGAGAGCTCATAAGGGTGTAATTAAGGGTTTTTGCTCCTGGCAAACCAAATAAAGACATTGTGCGTATCTTGAATTTTGGGTCTGGAAATGCTCAAAAATTTTTCCATAAATTCACTGACCTTTAATATTAATGTCTTTTGCCACATTTGGAGAGTTGGTTTTTTTTTTTCCTTTCTTTTTTTTTTTTTTTTTTTTTTTGGCCATTGTGCCTTCAATATCCTTCTCTCCATTTGGAATCCCAATGCACTGTATATTAGGCATTTGACATAATCACCTGGTCTTATATTTGTCTATCTTCTGGTTGACCAAGCATTTCCTCTATTATCACCATCTAGAGAAATTTAATTTCAGCTGGATTTTTCTTTTTTCACATTTTCTAGTTTTGTGCTGAGAACTGCTATCTTTTTATTCAGGTTTGTCATAAACCCTAATTATAATTGCTGCTTTAAAGCCTTTGTCTGATTATTTCAACAATAGAGACTTTGTCTGATAATTTCAACATCTAGATCACCTTGGGTTTGGCAGCTGTTGATTAACTTGATTGGCCAAAAAGACCTGGTTTCTATTGGAGTTTCAGCTGCCTGTGCTACTGTCATCATGCCACTCTGTGACTAGGAGCCACCCTCAGGGAAGAAGTTTGAGGGAGGAGAAATGGGAGGTGTAAATCTTGCAGTTGTTTCTCTAAATTTTGACTCCTCTATAGTTTTTTTTAAAAAACTTTATAGGGTCCTCATGTTATTGATGTTTTTTTCCTATTTTGTCTGAGTTTCTAGTTGTAATTAACAGGAACAGTGAACTGCAGTGGGCTACAGTGCCATAGCTCAGTCAGTACTTATTTATTTTTTATTCTAGATGTAATCAGATATAAAGGCTTCATGGTAGGGTTACATTTGAGTAATTCTGGTTTGGTAAAAAATATTGAGGTAGTATATAAAGCTATGGTCCTATGGTATGTTCGTTAGCTTTAGAATGCTTAATTGCGTTATTGTTGCCATGAAACACATCCTTTGTGATAGTTGAAAATGTAGCATTCTCAATTGGAGTGTGCCAGACCAGTGTCTGAGCATTTTAGACTGATCACAAATTGCTTTGCTTTTCCTGGTTTTCTCAGTATATGAAACTGCTATTTTAACCTTAGTCAACTCTCTTCTAAAAGCCATCTATGGTTCCCTATAAATAACTATTAGTAATATAAACATGTCCTTTCCTTCTATTACCACCGTCCATTTTGCCAGGATAACAGTGAAAGACCTTCCTATAATATGTGTTCCAAACTTAAGGTAATTATGTTTGAATCACTTCTTAGGTGTGTTGTTTGGACTGGTGATGAGCGGGTCTTCTTCTATAATCCTACCACCCGTCTTTCTATGTGGGACCGACCTGATGATCTCATTGGAAGAGCGGATGTTGACAAAATTATTCAGGAGCCCCCTCATAAAAGAGGAATGGAAGAATTGAGGAAGCTAAGTAAGTTTTAATTTAGGAATTTATTCCAGAATGTGAACATGGTTTTAATATTTCAACAGAAAATGTTGAGGATGTTTAGAAAATCTTTCTGTTTTCAAGGAACATAAGAAACTTGAGAAATTGAAATTAGATTGCTCTGCTAGCTTGAGTACATTGATAGAGATATAAAAAATAAAGAATTTGGTTGATTTCTTTTTTTGTAAAATATTTATATGTAGTTTTTTCTTTCTTGTCCTTGACAAGATTTCATTTAGTACAGGATGTGTTGGTACCACTGATGTTCCATATTTGCTAGTAATACTAAAATGATCTTCAGTTAGCTTTTTAAAAAGCACCTTTTGTGACTAGTAATATGTTTTCTGAAATAATCAAAACTCTATTTTTAAAATATGTTTACTAAATTGTAGAATATAAAAACACAAGATTTTGTGAACATACAAGTTATTATTAGTCTTTTTAAGTAGGTGAAATTTAGGGAAGGGTAAGCCTTATGCCTGAGAATATAGAGACACATAAACCTTATTAAGAGATTATCTTTAATCTACCTCATATTTAGGTAGCATTTTAGGATATATGATGAAGACAAATATTTGTAAATAATTTTTGTTGCATATTTTTTATCAGTACTTTGCTCTTGTATTCATGTAATTGTGTTTGTACAGAATCTTCCCATGTTGTATAGAAGCATGATAAATGAATCATTTAATACATACTTCAGATGTAGCAAACCCTAATATATGTTATTTATGATGATGGAGAAATCTTCATTGATGGTGTATGTGTGGTACTAACATTTTCTGCTTATAAGTGTTTTCTAGATCAGTCAAACTTGGCCTAACTGGTGCTAAAAATACTAGGCACCAGCTTTTCTCTTTCAGCAATATCTGTTGTATAGCTATGTTATTGATAATACTTTATCACTATAGTATTGAATCAAGCCAAGAAAGTTTTTAAATCTGTTTTCAAATATTCAATCCATTTATTTAATAAACTAGGAGCCCAATGCCTAAAATTGGTGCAGGGGGCTTGGCCCTGTCCCCACCTGCCGCAACCAGGGGCCTCTTCTGCTTCTGCCTCAGCCCCCGCCCCCTGCGGCTTTGTCAGGAAGGAAGGACATCCAATATAATGAGCATATTATGCTCTTCTTATTATAGATATGTGCATCAAAGAGTCATTTCAAAATGAAGTGAATATTCAATATAAAGGGGGAAATAATAGAGGAGGTATAGAATTACCATGCTTAGTTTAGTGTTTTACGAAGGAATGCATGTCATGGGATGGATATTTTATATAAACAGTAATTTTATAAAAGTAGGCTGTATAATATATGCATATAACTATTTTTCTTAATATTTGAAATACTTTTTTGCCAGGGCACCCAACCCCGACAATGCTGTCCATCCAAAAGTGGCAGTTCTCTATGAGTGCAAGTAAGTGAACTGTCAGTTGCAGCTTCTTTGTAGTAACTGCTAGGACGAGTATTGTGGTAGTGGTTAACAGGAGTCACACTTAAATACTTCAGTTGTTGCTTGCTTATTTGTATTCTGACAGTTTAATTAAATTTTACCCTACAGTTAAAGAAGAACAAGAATTAATGGAAGAACTTAATGAAGATGAACCAGTTAAAGCCAAAAAAAGGAAGTAAGTAATACTTACAGTTTATGTAAATCAGGTAGATTGAAGCTTTTAAAAGTTGATTAGGCCACATTGAGTTTGTGATTGGAGACAGGTAATGTGTGTGTTGTCAGGAGACAGAAGTGATCATTGTGTCTTAAGCCAAAAGATTTTGCTGTAGAGTGTAGAAATGGTGTGTGTCCCTTCCATTATTAGATTTGCAAAAGGCTTGGTTATTTAAATACACATTATGAAGCCAAATGACATTTTAGGAATTAGTTGATAAGTTATTTTCAGATATTCATTAGGTCTGTGTTTTATAAAAAATAAACTTCCAACAAATACCATTCCAAGAATCTCATAAATGCAGACACAGACTTCTCTCTCTTTTTACATACTTGTAACTTCCTTAGTCCTGGAGTCTATAGTCCTTTTACCTGGTAAAGAGGGAACTATGAACTTAGAAAGTGTTCTGAGAAGAGTGTGCTATTAAGTAGAAATATTAGTTTTGCCAATGCTCTGGCGTTAGATAAAATATGAATGTTACTAAATATAAGGAGTAGAAGGGTGGGGTAGAGGGTGTTTGTGTGTGGGTGGGGTGGGGGAGGGGAATGGGACTATTAGCAGTAAAAAGGAAAATTTGAGGGCATTAGGGACTAGTTTATCATACTAGTCCTTATCTGAAAAGAACATTGAATGCAGCCAAATTACGGCAAAAAACAAAACATTAAACAACCCCTATCAAGGGCATGTGTGTGTTGCTGTTTGTTTTTTTTTTAAATGTCTTTATTGGCAAGAACATTAAAGAAATTAAAATATTAAAGAGAATCATTCATAATCAACCATACATTTTTCAGTTGACTTTTTAGTTCTTAACCAGATGTATAAGTATTTTTATTAGTTGTAATTAACTAATTTTGTATTTTTTTAAAATCTAGAGTAAGACATTTGTTTTCTTAGTTATTATAAATGATTGTATTCATTCTGTTTATGTACCATAATTTTGGATATTCCTGCAATGTTAAACTTTTAGGTTGTTTTTAATTGTTTGTTCTTATAGACAACTCTGTAAGGTTTTTAACTGCTTTTATCAGGAGAATGTCAAAGAAGTCCTTTATGTGGATTGCCCGAGCTTCTCTATTTAGGTACAAAGCTAAAAGCCTCTTTTTCCTGGCTTAGTTTCTCTTTATTTCTTTTATTGAGATAGATAGTGATAGTTTGTATTGTGACATTTTCATTTAGTAATTCTATAAAGGTTTTTGTTAGTTATATTTCTTGGATTTCCTTTAACTCTATTTAAATGGTTCATAAATAAATTATTATAAGGGGGTATATTGTTTAGCAAATTGCTTTTACCTGTTTGTTTTGTGCATATCTTATTAGGTCACAGACTTTCTCGATAAGTTCCTGCAGGTCACGGATTATATCTTCTATTTCTTTTGATTCATTTCCTAAGTTGTTAGTTACCTCTCCCTTACCATATTGGAGGGTTAGTCTTAGTTTCATTTAAATTTCCTGGGTTACCTTCACTTTTGAATTCTCTGATGTTCCTTCCGTTTTCCTAATTTCTTTAAGTTTCTGTAGGGAATCTGAACCATTTTTATATTTAGCAGATCATATTTAAGAAGGAAAATCTGTTCAAACACACCAACTACTATAGAATTATATATTTTTTTTTTATTATTATTCACATGAATGGGCCTTCTTCATCGTGCAGATGTTTTGAGAGGTGACTGGATTTCATTTTCACAATCTCCCTTAAGTACCATACAGTAGCAGGGTTACCCTTAGCCCAGAGGTGCATTTTTAGAGGAAAAAGTAGTTTAGTCATTGATGAACAGTTCTAATTCCACCTAACTACTCCTGGGCCTATGTTGCTCTCTGGGACCTGTTCTTCAACTTAAATCTCAACTTATCACCCAGAAAGTGAGTAAAAAAATGTCAGGTAGGTAAGGTATACACCTCACATATCCACTTGGCCAAGTTTGCAGATATTTTAATCTTATTTTCAAAATAAATATTTGAGATTACTAGGACTTATACCAACTTTTATTAGATTTTAAAACTATTTTATGCATTTATAATATAAAACATTTTAGAAAATGCTATTTTTCCTATATCATTTCAAGAACTAAAAGTTATATTCTGTGCTGTTTAATTCTAACACATAGTTTGACTGCAATGTGAGATAAGTATTTTGTTTTGTTTTTTTAAGTAAAGTAGTTCATTTTGTATATCAACTAGTGTCAGGAAAAACAAAAGTATATATATTCTTTTACAATGTATCCATTGTAACATTAGAAGCTTATTGTAACTTTATTATTAAAATGAAAGCTGCTTGTCCCTTAGAGTTCATTAGATACACTCAGTATAATTTGTTTTTGCCAAAAATATGCTCCTCAGTAGTGAGTCTGAAACATTCCATTTATTTTAAGATTTTAGCAAGATTTCTTATTAATATTTTGTCAGTTGATGCCTTATCTTTTATTTTTTTTATAGGAGAGATGATAATAAAGACATTGATTCAGACAAAGAAGCTGCAATGGAAGCTGAAATTAAAGCTGCCCGAGAAAGGGCCATTGTCCCTCTGGAGTCCCGAATGAAGCAGTTCAAGGACATGCTGCTAGAAAGAGGGGTCAGAAAACAATCTTTGGGGGAGATATTTCTGTTTTGTATAAGTAATATAAATATGTCTTGCTAAAAGGTCAAATCTAAGGTTAGTGCTCATGTCGTGGGGGGGAGAAGGGAAGCCTATCAAATTACTGTATCTTTTCACTCAGCCATTTTTTTGGCTAATTATATAATGTTTAACTTAATGCCACCTACTATCCTTTTATGTACAATTGATATTTAACATTTATTGGGTCATTAAATTTTGGTGAGTAATTTAAGACGAGTATTAACATTCCAGAATGGCGGACTACTCAGGATAGGTAAGGTATATACGATTCTTCCTTTAATATCTTCATAATGGTTTTTGGTTAAAGGAGAACTTATTATTAATGAACCTTAATTGAGAAGGGTTTTCTTTTGGTTATATTCACAGACTCATTTGAATAACTAAAATTGTGCAGTTTTAAATTACAATGTTCACAAGATTGGAGCAAACATGGGAAATTAAAATACAGATCTTCAAGGCTTTTTCTGATGTACTGATTTAAAATGTCACACAGTAGTGGCTATGTTAATGAATAATTAGGTGTGTCTTATTTTTATATAATACAGAAATGTTCAGAGCCAATTAGTGTGGAAATTTGCTATTACCTCCCACTGCTTGTCATTTATTAGTGATGGAAAATTCAGGATGCTTTTTATTATGTCTCCTTTTTAAGCAGATGTCCTGTAGATTTCAAGCAAAATTATATGACCTTTAATTTTTTAGAGCCAACTTACTTATGAAGGGCAATACATTTTTTTATGTTAAAGGTGTCTGCTTTTTCAACATGGGAGAAGGAGTTGCACAAGATAGTTTTTGATCCTCGGTACTTACTTCTCAACCCTAAAGAACGAAAACAGGTAAAAGGAAAATAACATTATCTTAAAAATGTATATCGCTTACAAGTATAAATTTTAAATTGTAAGGAGTAATGTATCATCTTTTTTCTTTCCTTTTCCTAACACAGTGCTTTAAAAAAAGCAGTATCATATCTTAGAACACAGTCATCCTTTCTTTGTGTGGACATTTGTACCTCAGAAGTTCTTGGATATTTTTGCTCTTATGGATGTAGCTATTGCCTCATGAACATTTTATCCTTATGCCTCATACAAACTAAGGTTATATCTAAGAAGGTTTCAAAATTCATTTCAAATGCATTTATTAATTTATTAGCTAAATGATGCAAATTTGGAGTAGAAAAATAGCAAACAATAGATGAAGAAAAGGGAAAAAATGACTACTTAAAGTTCTACCTAACATGCAGGATCAGCATTGAACACTGGTTTATAGCCTCCTAGGCTATTATATAGTAATATGCGTGTGTGTATGTGTGTGTGTTTGTGTCTTCTGAACAGAAAATACTTAGAGGTATGTTTATGTCTTACACACGCTATACACATCAAATTCACATCTGAGTGGCATCTCTTAAAATGGAGCTTCATTGCCATTTAATCCCGTGATGATTCAGTAACACATACCATCTCAGGGTGATTACTTCTTCCTCTAAAGTATTGCATACTTCCAATTTCTATAATTTATCAATTACCTGGCTTACCCCAACACTGATCTCTCTAAAGTGGTGAGTATATTGAACCACTGGCTGTTAGTGCTGTTGAGCTACAAGATTTCAGTTGGTAACAGTAGTCCCATCTTTCATATTTATAACTTAATGGTTGGAATAATTCTATACACATTTTGTATCATTCTGCATGTAAGTCTTTTTGTAGACTTTTTAAGAAAAGAGGAAATTTACAGTGTGCCAGACATATTTTAGTGCTTGTAGTAGACATGGCTTTCTAAATATATTTGCATCATCTGCATTTCAAGCACGGTTATCTTTAAAAAAAACAAAACAAAACAAATCGCAATCGATTAGTGTGATGGTCTCATTCCCATCTGAGTTATGTCCCTATCAAAACCTTAATTCTTAAATTTGTAAATCAACCTTAATTCTTTAGTTGAGACCCAATGTACATTTCAAGTCTATCAGCAAATCTACCTTCATAAACTCATCTAACTCCAACTCACTAATACCCTAATCCAAGCCACCACCATGGTCAAACTTTCATCATCTGTGTAACCTCTCATTGAGTTCCTTGCTGCTTTCCATTTTTGCTTCTCCAAAGTCAAGTTTTTTCTCCACACAGCAACCAGGCTACTTTTGAAGTTAATGCAGTACTGTTTTTGCTTAAAATCCATTTTGTTTAGGATAAAATGAAACTTTATCATGGCCTATAAGCTTCTACATATACTTATGCCTGCACACTTCTTGAAGCTCTTTTTTTAAACTTATTCATTCTAGCCACATTGACCTTGATATGCCTTGAGCAAGCCAGTCAGGTACATTCTGGTACTTTCTATTCCCTGTGCCTGGGAATTTTTTACTCCAGATTTTTCATGCAGGTACTTGTCCAAATGCCTTCTGATCAACCTGTCTCCTTGCCTTTACTATCGTCATCACATTTATAGCTCTTATTGTCTAAAATTATCATCTGTCTCTTCTGCAGAATATAAATTTTGTGAGAGGAGGATTGTGGTCTTGTGCATTGCTCTAAATGTAGTTCCTAGAACAATGCTTAACCCAAATATTCTTGAAAACTTCAAAATTTTTGTGACTTAAGCACTGTTAGAGTTTCTGAGTGAGTGAAATTACAAGTATATATTCTCATGTTCGGAAATATTTTGTAAGTTGATGGTGTTACCTTTTTACTGGAGTTACACTTAAGAAGAGAAAAAGTATTAAGCATTCTTTTTTTTTTTTTTTTTTTTTACTCCTCACCCAAGAATTCTTATCAATTCTAGAGAGAGAGGAAGAGAGAGAGAAGCTTTGATGGAGAGAGAGAAACACTGATTAGTTTCTCCTGCATGCACCCTGGTGGAGATCGAATCCACAACCCAGGCATGTGCCCTGATTGAATCAAACCCAAAATCTTTCAGTGCATGGAATCGCACTTCAACCAGCTGAGCCACCTGGCCAGGGCAAGCACTATTCTATTTTAAATAAAAACTCTTTTTAGAATTTTTTTCTTACAACTGGAATATAAAAAAGTTAACATTTGAATTTAATATATATTTTTTTCAGTTATTTTTTGTGAAATATTCTCTTGGGAGTATAAAATCAAGGAGTAGCCAATTAAGTGCTAGATTACGTACTTGCATGTGATAACTTCATATCTCAAATTTGTGCTTTGATTTGAAAAAAAAAACTTAACAATTTCATTAAAAATGCTTCAATGTAAAATTACATCTCTTTCAGTTTTGTCCTTTTAATTACCTGTAGATATCTCTCTCTCTCACACACACACACACACACACACAGCATTGTAAAGGACGTGTTTTATGTAATTATTACCATAAATTTTAACTTATGATTTTCCTTATTCTTATTTTTTTATTGAGTTTATTGGGGTAACATTAGTTCAAAACCATACAGATTTCAAGTGTGCAACTCAACAAAACATCATTTGCACACTGTATTGTGCTCCCATCCACCCTAAGCAAAGTGTCTTCCATCCATTTCCCCCCACCTTGATCAGGCAGTTTTGTTATGACAGATTAAAATGTGTGACATTTTTAGAAAATAACCAGACCATTTCTGTACAGGATGTTAAGCTCTGGTTTAGGGAGAAGTTATGCTAACATTTCAAAATTTAAAATGAAAATATAGTGCATATTGTTTAGAGTTGTATGAGTGACGGTGTTATCATATGGAAATACATTATCGGTATAATTACTGATGATTGTCAACTGTTCATCTAGGTCACTGTTTACTGAATCAGTATAAATTATAAATTGTATTATATTGAATCAGATAGTGGAGATCTATTGAAAAGGAAAAACTATTCCCCTATACACTGAATACTTGGACATCAATGTGTACATTTTTTCCCTGAACCAACCAGTTCTCCAGCACCAGAGTAGTGTCCTGCAATTAAAATGAATTCTGACACTGTCTGCGAGGAGTTAGCATCAGGTATCACAGATTAAGGTCAGTCTTACAAGACACCAGTCGCAAGTAGTAGGGCTCTTTATCTTGGCTTCTTTTCAAGGGTTCCCATGATCCTCTCCAGGTTTATTAATTTGCCATAACAACCCACAGAACTCAGGGAAATGCTTCTTTCTTTTGACTGGATTTTTTTTGTGTTTTTGTTTTGTTAATCCTCACCCAGAGGATATTTTCCCATTGATTTTAGGTAGGGTAGGAGGGAGGGAGAAGGGCAGGGGAGAGAGAGAGTGGGATTGATTTATTTTGATTATATTGCCCTAGGAGTAAGCATTTGTCTTAGGTAATAAGCACTTGCCTTTTATTGAAGTTCAATAGTGGCAGTTCCCCCAGATAACATAGACTTGGTGGGAGTGGGGGGAACCTAGTGATTGTTCCACCTCCTAAATAGCCTAATTGTGGCAGTACCCCCACTTTCACTTCTGTGTCTGATACCACTAATTCTTGAGCTGTTGAGGATTCTCTTAAAAAAAAAAAAAAAAATTCCTTTTCTTCCTGGCTGCTTGAAGATCGGCCTCATCATGAATGACAGAGTAAGTATCTGAATCAAGAAGTTCGTGCATGGCAAACTACTTCAACGGAAACAAATGGCCATTGACATCCTTCACCTGGGGAAGACAACGGTACCCAAGACAGAAATTCAGGAGAAACTAGCCAAAATATGTAAGACACACAGATGTCACCTGTGTGTGTGGATTTAGAACCTATTTTGGTGGTGACAAGACAACTGGCTTTGTCATGATTTATGATTCCTTGAGTTATGCAAAGAAAAATGAACCCAAACATAGACTTGTAAGACATGAACTGTATGAGAAGAACTCAGGAAAACAGAAAGTAATGCAAGAACAGAATGAATTAAGTCAAGGGGACAGCAAAGGCCAATGTTGATGCTGCAAAAAGTGAGCTGGAGATGGGATAAGAAGGAGCAAAGGTTCTTAGTGGCTTTATCTGTGGTAATTGTACTTTTTTCATGAGAGGATTAATAAACTAAGAACTTAAAATATTTCCTGTTTTTCTTTTGAGTATCTAGTGATTTTAATCAAAGTTGGTAAATTCTTAATTTTTAAGAGATTGTTTTTCATTAATTCCTTTGTTTTCTTGACTGCTGGTTTAGGGTTCCCTTTCTTCTGTCTGCCAAATCCTTTACCACTTGTCCATCTTTTCATCTTCCAGATTTTTTTCTGTCTTCCTGTCCTTGTGATTTTAAAAAAGGAATTCCTCTACTGTCATTTTATTAGTATTTGTCGAAGGCAGGAAATAGATGTATATATTCAGTTTATACTTGAATATACATTATTAAGTGGGGGTAAATATTATACAATAAATGTAATGCATTGTTATTTTGGTGAAAATTATATCTTAAAGAAGCACAGAAATAAAATTAAACTATAGATTCCATACTGTTAATGCTTTATCTAGAAGGGATTTGGGAGGATTGTTATTTCTCTTAAACATTTCCAAATTGCTTGAAATTTTTTAATAAACATGTTTCAATTTATAATCTGGGAAAATTAAGATTAAGGGGCTTTTAAGTTTTTTCTATTCTGCAAGCCTAAGCAGAGGGCTGTATGCTTCTGTAATACTGTCACGTCAGCTGGAGCTTTAAAATGAGATTTGCTAGAGATAACCTGAATATACTTGAGTCACCTATATTTTATTATTCTAGATTGGACCTAGATGGGGATGTAGTGTGTTGGTTTTTTTAAATAGATTCCGTAGTTTGGTAGTTAAATTAGCTATATGAAAGACTAACTTGTCAAATTGGTTTATTTTTGTGATAGGTTTTTGATCAGTATGTAAAGACCAGGGCGGAGGAAGAACGCAGGGAAAAGAAAAACAAAATAATGCAAGCCAAGGAAGATTTCAAAAAAATGATGGAAGAAGCAAAATTTAATCCAAGGTATGTGGTTCATTACTGTCAACTATCAAAATACATGTGTTTTCTCTTAAGATCAGCTAAAAAAAATTTACTTATATAAGTGATCTTTTGGAGATTTGGATATGAAAGTTTATTTGATCATTGGTTTCTGTCTTTCTAATGTTCATTCCTAATGTATTTCTTTGAGGAATCCCTTTGAGAGGCATTGATTTTCAGAAGGGCACTTTTGTTTTACATGTTTTCCTGTGAGAGCAAGTTTTCTTCTATAAAAACTGGTAAATCATAGAAAAGATGTCCCTATCTTCTTAGTTTTACATTCAATAAATTGCAGAGCAGGGACATTATTTTGTTGAAGTGGTGAAGGGACCTTTCAGTTTTCTAAGTATCTAGATTATGGTTTTGTCCTATGTCTTCAACTAATTGTTAATATGTATTGAATATATGTAATGGGCTGAAGAAAAGGAGACATTTTAAACCTATGTCCCTAGCATTATAATAGCATCAAGTATTGGTTATTTTTTACGTGCTTAAAGATACGTGTGTATATGTATATGTATAAAGTGCTTGTGTGTATATGTAAGGATACACATAACACACACATATTATCTCATTCAATCTTTAAAACAATATGATTTAGGTACCCATATCATACCTATTTTACAGATAAGGAAAGTAAGACATAAGCAAGTTAGGTAATGTGCCCAAGTGAATGTGGGATTTCAACTAGATTTTTAGTGTTACACCAAAGAGTCCAGGCAGGGACAATTACTTTCTTATTTATGCCTTAGATGTGGTGGTAGGTGGTGTGAACACCTCAGAACATGGAGCATTTCTAAAACTCTAGGGCAGATTCAGGGAGTCGTGGTTAAGTGGCACTTTTCCCCCTTCTAATTTTATTTATTTAATTTCATTGTTTAAGGTATTACAAATAGTAGTACATATGTCTCTCTCTCTCTCTCTTTTTTCTCACTGACCTCCCCCAGTCTCCCCTACCTCCCAATACTTGCCCTCGTTCCCTTCCCCCAAGTGTCTTGAGTCTGTTGGTTGTGCTTATGTGTAAGTGGCACTTTTATAAAAGTTCATCTTGTTTAAACAGTTATTTTTGTCAATTGAATTGTGTTGTTTGAGAAAGTGCACTTGGGGTTACAATTTCATATTTGAAGTATGAAGAGAACAGTCCTGTGGCGTTAATGCAAATGTCAGAAAGCAAAGCCCGCAGAGGCGTCGTGGCTGTGAAGCATGCAGCACTCTTCAGGGAGGTGGCGCTTCAGGCGCTCCAGTGAGGCTCCGGCTTTTTCTTAATCCAAACGGTGAGTTCGTGGCTCACAGTAGTTGAGACTGGGTTGTAAACATTTTTGGAGGCAATTGAAGGAATTTGAACATGGATTGTTAATACAGGATAATTAGAGAATTAGTAATTTTCTTTGAGTATTGTGGCTCGGGAGCAAAAGGATTTACTCAATATTTCGTGCTGAAATATTTATAGATGGAGTCCTGTAGTATCTATAGCTTATTTTCAAGTGATTCAGCAAAACATAACTATTTACTAAAACCCTTTATGGATCCCAGGAATAATTGAGACTCCAAACGTGTTTTCCTTTTGTGGGTTTGACAAACGAAGTCTTGCTTTATCTCAGTACCCTCCTGATGTTCTTTTGGAGCAGATAGAATTGTTATTGATCAGAATTAACTTTCAGAAAATAAAGCTATCAGGCACATAGCTAGAAATTTTAGCACTTGACTAATTGTGCTATATTGTTATGTCATTACATTTAATGCTAGCACAAAGATTAGAACCAATTTTGATGAAATAGCAGAAAATGAGGAATACTGTCCACTGACCTAAATTTCTCTTTGATTTGGAAAAAAGACTAGTATCACAGAATTCTTTAGCAGAGTCTGTAGATTCAAAGCACTGGAGTTGTTCCAAGGGAAGAATGACGGGAGAATTACTTAAATTTAGTGCCTTTCTCTTCTATGTCTCTTTTCTTTATAAATAGAGATTTTTAGGTCGACTCTTGATCATTGTAATTTTCCCAATCCCTTACCTCCAACCACTCCACCCCTCCTCAGAAAACCCCCACAAAACCCAAAAACTCTTACTCATATATCACTGCCTCTGAAATGGCTGTCCCTGGCTAACTGCTTTTCCTTTACCCAAATCAGTTTTTCTACCTCTTCAATTGTCTGTTAGAAAGTAGTGCTTTTTAGAGTTGAGAGTTGAGTCAAATAAAAACATTCCCATTGGAACTTGATGCTAAAACTTCATTTTAGTCTGTTCTGGTATAACATATTAATTATTTTACTTATAAGCAATATAAAGTATAAAATAATTGAGTTTTCATTTTTACATGTTAATTTTACATACTTAAAAAGGTTTATTCTTTAATCATTGTATTGCTTTTTCTAAAATTATAAAGCAAGATGCTTGATTTATCATAAAGAGAAAAATATATGTAATGGACTACATGCTGTACCTTTTCTGGGATACACCTTCATTTTACCTTAGGATTTCATTATGGTTATGTATCCATTGTTCAGACCAGGTTTATAATATATCCTTTTGTTAAAAATGTTGAATTAATGACATTATATATTGTACTATCAGTTCCATATAAAAGATTATCAGAATCTGACTTTGGTTAGCAATGCTTAAAAATAGCAAATGTTAGCTCTGAGTGGTAAATCTTCAGTTGATGTTTTAGATTCTGAAATTAACTCGCCAGTTTTTTCTTTATAATTAAAAGTCTGTAATCTTTGTTTAATTTGCTTTATTCTCCCCTCTAAAAACATTCTAAATATGGGAATATTTATTATAAGAACAAATTCTTATATAAGGTAAAAGCTTCAAATACTAAAATATATCCAAATACATGAAAGCTTTGAAAGTACTTTTTTTCCTGGAGAAACTTGGTTTTTTATGTTACATTAGCACTCATTCACTTGTATTTAGCCTGCTTGGTGTTTGCTTAGCTTTTTGGATCAATCCATTTTTAGTTTTCATTAAATTTGGAAAGTCTTGGTCAGTATTTTTCTGCCCGATTCACTTTTTTCTCTTAAGATTCTAATTATACATATATCAAAGTGTTATAATCTCACATGCTTCTGAGACTGTTTTCCTCCTCCCTCCAATATTTTTTCTATACTATCCTCTTCTGATGAGATAATTGTTATTGCTCTAACTTCCAGTTATTAACTATTATCTTTCCTCTCATGTTAAGCCCATCAAGTTAACTTCTCCTGTCATTTCCATTTTCCATATCTCTGCTCAGACTTCCTATTCATTGATCATGTTTTCACCTCTTTGAATCTCCTTTAAATTCTTTCAGTATAATTAGTTTGTCTAAAACATCTGGGTATCTTGGGTTTGGTTTCTATTGGCTTTTAAGTTTTTTGTTTTTTTTTTCTATGAATCACATACAAAGAAACATGTATGTTTAGTGATTTTTAAAAATTTATTCCTCACTTGAAGATATGTTTATTGAGTTTAGAGAGAGGGGAAAAGAAATGAGGTGGGGACAGAGAAGAGGGAAAAGAAACATTGATATGTTACCTACTGTATACGCACCAACTGGGAATCAAACCCACAACCTTAAGTATATATATTTTATTGATATTTTACAGAGAAGAAGAGAGAGGGTTAGAGAGTTAGAAACATCGATGAGAGAGAATCATCGATCAGCTGCCTCTTGTACAACCTCTACTGGGGATGTGCCCGCAACCAAGGTACATGCCCTTGACTGAAATCGAACCCGGGACCTTTCAGTCCCCAGGCTGCTGCTCTATCCACTGAGCCAAACCGGTTTCGGCTGTTTAGTGATTTTTAATTGAATATTGGAAATTGTGAATAATGGGTAGAGGCTCGAGTGTGTTATTTTTCTCTGAAGAGTATGAATTCTTTTTTTTAGCAGGCAGTTCAATTAATTGGCGCATCACGGAAATTTTAGGTTTGATTTTGATCAGAAACTGAAAAATAGTTTTCTTAACCTTCCAACTTTGTCTCCTTGTGATTTTTTTTTTTTTTAAGTGGAAGGAATGGAGAAAGGTGGGAGAGGAGGGAGGAGAGAGAGAGAGAGAGAGAGAGAGAGAAGGAGAGGGAGAGGGAGAGGGAGAGGGAGAGAAGCACTTCTCAGTCTCTAGTCTCTCTCTTGGTACAGGAGAGGTCTTTTTCTGCTATGTACACCTTGGCCTTGGCTGGGTACTCATGGGGAATCATATGTGATTTTTTGGGGGGCACCCTCTCTGTGGCTTCTTTCTCTTGCACTTAGCACCCAAACTCTGATCTTTGCTGTTTCTAGCTTATTGAGATCATAGTACTCTGCTTGAACACTAGTTCTCAGTACCTTGGAAATTGACCCAAGGCAGAGGGCAATGGGGCTTACCTCAGCTTTGTTTTGTTGTCACTATGTGAAATCAGTTGCCTTGTGTAGTTTGTCCTGTTTCATAGTTTATGGAAGAAGAGCTAATTCAGTAAAAGGTATTTCATCATGGCTAGAAGCAGGACTCGGTCTCCTCTTAGGAAGAACTAGGTTAAGTCTCTTGAAGCCCACACATTCTTTGCTCTCTGATGTGCAGATCTGTCTACCACCAATCTGATGGTAAACAGATCTCTAACCACATTTTCACCCTTTAGCCCTTTGCACTCCTTTCTGTAGCTCATTGTTCAGTGTTTAAGCAGATATTGGGACTCCGTGTCTCTTTGGCACACATTCTTGCTGGGAAAATGGTATCTTCTGCTATACCTTTCTACAAGCAGAAATAGCCCTGTCAAAGTTAGCACACTTGTCATTTTGTTACAGAGCAACTTTTAGTGAATTTGCAGCCAAGCATGCTAAAGATTCAAGATTCAAAGCAATTGAAAAGATGAAAGATCGAGAAGCCTTGTTTAATGAATTTGTGGCAGCTGCAAGAAAAAAAGAGAAAGAAGATTCGAAGACGAGAGGGGAGAAGGTAAGATGGTTTTCGGTTCAGTGGCATGATTGATGGGAATGCGTGCGAATAGGGCGGGACTAAGCTGGTGCTGTGTTTCTTGTCTCATTCATGAACGTAAATAGCAATAGGACCCACATTTACTGGTTAGCCTTTTAAATTGACTTTGATAATTGTTTATGTGTGTACATTCTATCACTTTCCATAATGCTTATTTTAGTAGCTTCACTAAACCACCAAGGGTTGCTTTAAATTTTATTAATACTGAGATGCCTGGCAAACCCAGAACTGGTTGTTAGGCTTATCTGTTCACTGGCCATCTGAGTGCCTGCTAAAATTCCAAGATTCCTTATAGGTGGTAACATTTAAGTCTCAGAGCCTTCTTCATCTTTTTTGCCCTCTGAAAGCATTTTAGTGACTTTCTAATCTTTTAATAAACATGTCTCACATATAAATTATTGCTTATCAGAATTAAAGGTCAGCTATTAAAGATTAATGAACTTCAAATGTCATTTGGTAGCAGTGTCGGGAGTGGAGAGGAGCTCACCACTGGGGAGGCCGACGGGTAGGGAGATGGCACCAGTGGTGTGTGAGCCATCAAAACAAGCAGCATTGCCTTAGTGCACCTGCATGCTTTGTGCATGGAGGAAAACCTAATCATTCTTAACCTTTAGAGTTGCCTCTTGTTCCAGGAAGTTAAAATACTACAAATTCTATTAAATGTTGTTAGGGAGATAATACCACTCTTGTTGGGAAGAAGTATCTTTCATTGAAAATAGCAGTGGTATTAGATGAAATAACTTTTTTCCAGAAATAATCTGAAATTTCTTGATTTATTTGGTTTCAAAAATGTATTTTTCCAAAATTATTTCCGTATTAATATTTTTTTGTTAAGCAATTATGCTTTGCAGAGAAAATGCAAAATTTGATTCTACTTGAACATTTTATGTGTTGTTTTAGAAACACTTTAATGAATTGTTTACTACTTTTGACTTTTAGTTATAACTTACTTGTTAAGGAAAATCAGGTAAATAGATGATTGACATTGTATGATTTATATGATTGCTTTTATACAAACTGAATGTTTTTCTCTCTGCATTTGTAACTAATTTTTTTCCCTAAACACTTTTATGCAACTTATTTTATGTATTCTGTTTTATAACAAGTGGTTAGACTTTACAGTTTTTTTGCTGTGCGACCTGTCAGTCAGTTCAGTCTGATAGCTGTCAGTCACTGATTCGCAAAGTATTATGAGATTCTCTAGTGAGGAAAGAATTGATATCTCTCTGTGATGACTTTAGCTTCCCATAGTTCAAGTACTTTACACTTTTTTTTAGTTTTTTTCCTTATAAAGTGATGACAGTTGTGCCCAGAATGTGTTAATTAAAGTAAGAAGTTAAATAGACATTACTTCTAAATAACCCTAATATATTCAGCTTTATTTTCTCCGATTGTAAAATTTTAATTCTTTAAATTATAGGTTTGGTTCTGTACCAATACTAAATTTTAAAATACAGTAAAACTTTCTCAGCTAGCTTAAAGAATGCATAATCAATTAATAGGCCATGAAAGCAGAAATCTTTTTAAAGTAAGGGTTTAAATATAGTATTATTAAATTCACATTCTGAGAAGTGGTTGGTTAATGAAGTTTTATCACATTCTTCATGACTTACCTGTAGATTCTTATAAAGTATACTGTCTATACAGTTTTTTAAAATCACATTTTAACTGTGTAATTGATGAGTAAGATCAATACCCAGTATCATGCTGATATGTTGGAATTTTTTTTTGTTCTTTGGATTCTCTAATAGAATCAGTAGCTGCAAAGTAAAGCCTGTGAAGGACATTGGCTTTAGTGAAATAGTGTTTTCCTTCAGTAGGCATTTTCAAGCTAAAGGTAACAATTATTTTCATGTAGCCTTCGGTGGTAATTTTCAATTTTATTAAAAAATGCCCCCAAACTCTATTTTTATTAGGTGCACTCCCCCACCCCAGTAGCTACCCTTACATTTTTGTTTATTATAATTTGTTTATTACTGTAGCCAATTTTTTATAAAATTGTGGTTCAAATAATTTACTTTTTGGAAAAACACATTTGAATTTATACATGATGGAGATAACTCTTTATGAAATTGGCATTTTCTCTTTTCTATTTCAAATTTCCTGCTGAACAATTTAAATATTTTTATTACAGTATATCATAAGGCTAAAGAGACTATTTTCCCCTATTTAAACAGCTTAGATAGGAAGGCACTTTCATATTTGGAAATCAAGTTTTAGTTAAAGTTGACTTTGGCTATATATCACACATTTAAAAAACTTTGATGATTTTGACTTCATAGGCTTTGTTTTTTAATATTTGAAAATGATTTTAAGTCCATGTAAATTCGTGTGGCTTAGAAAGATTCCTGTTTACTACAGCTTGCATGTCTTTATTTAGCATGAATTTTATAAATTTTGCCTTCTAGTTAGGCATATAGGAATTTGGTGTTTATCATCTCAGATACAAAATAGACAAGGTGAACAGTAATTTATGTTATATCACTACATCAAGTGGTTTCTTTATCACTGCCTGCAAATGTTGGGTTTATGATCCACACAAAGGCAAGAGCCACTACTGAAATCCACAGCTGATTAGTTCTTGTCTTTTTTTAAATTCTCTAATGTAGAAACGGTTTCTTATAATCTTACAAGTGTTTTCCAGAAAGGACATAAACCTCCCTTTCAATCCTTTAATAGGAAAAATGAGATTATAGGAGGAAATGAGAGGATTGGAATAGGCAGAAAGAATGATTATTTTGTGCCCACACATTTAAAATTCTGATTCCGTTCCTAATTTATCATTCCCTTGGTCAGGAGGGAAGGCAGCATGCTTAATCTCTATGAGGAGAAGAGGTTCTTGACATGGTCAAAATCCTCTGCTGAAAGGACTTTGGCTATCTTGATATCTTTCCTGGGAGAAGCACAAAATAATTTAGATGAGCCTAATTTTAAAACAGATCATCAAAGGATCATAAAATAAATGCCTCATTTATCTTTCTCTCCCCTCCTTCTCTTTTTTTAAAATACATATATATACATACAGTTTGAGATAGGGTTTCTAAGTATTGCATATTTTGATACTATAATACCTTTGATATAATATTACTAACTTGGTACTTCAATTAAGTATGTTACTTTGTTGACACATAATCTAAGTTGTGTAATGGTGAAGGCATACATACATGTTTAATGACTAAAAAGTACAGAAAATCTGAATGCAGTTTTTTTTTTTTTTTTTTAGTAATGACTAAACTTATTTTTTTGTTTTTAGATATTTGAAAGTTTCAGGTTTATAATAAATAAGACTTGCTATTTGTGCTCAATTGTTTCTAAAAAAAATTTTTTTTTTAATATATTTTATTGATTTTGTACAAAGAGGAAGGGAGAGAGATAGTTAGAAACATCGATAAGAGAGTCATCGATCAGCTGCCTCTTGCACACCCCCTACTGGGTATATGCCCTTGACCGGAATCAAACCCGGGACCCTTCAGTCTCCAAGCCGACGCTCTATCCATTGAGCCAAACCGGTTTCAGCTCAATTGTTTGTAAATCCTTCTATTTTTAACAAACAAAAATTTTATTCATCTACTTTTTAAAATAAAACATTCTTACCAGCTTTATGTTAAAGTATTTTACTATAGTTTATAAGCTGATTCTTTGCTAAAAGTAAATTCAAATTCACATTCCTTATGAAATATAGCAGTTCTGAGATCAAATATTATAAACAACATAAAAAGTTTTTTCTATATTTGAATAATTTTATAAGAGAACACGACTTATCTTGAATTGGGTATATTTAAAATGAATTCCTCTGTGTGTTGATTTTTATATTTCATGAAAGAGTAATTCTGATATCCTCTTTTACTAAAACTTATTATATCCTGAGTAAGTGCATTTAAAAAAAATAGTCATAAGGTAAGTAAACTTTTTTTTTTAATTGTAAAATTTAGATATGAAGAATTTATCATTTTTTCCCTTCATCTTGTTTTGAAATGTAGATTAAATCGGATTTCTTTGAATTATTATCTAATCATCACCTGGACAGTCAGTCTCGATGGAGCAAAGTAAAAGACAAAGTAGAAAGTGATCCACGTTACAAAGCAGTGGACAGTTCATCAATGAGAGAAGACCTTTTCAAACAGTATATTGAAAAAATAGCCAAGGTAACTATTGGGCTGCTTGTCCTTTAACCATACTATGTAATAAAGCAGGAATATGCAAATTGACTGGCACCCTGCCGCAAAGATGGCTGCACCTGTGAGTTCCCATAATTAGCCTTAACGAGCAATCAGCAGGGATCTGAGGCTGCAGGTCCTCCCCCCACACTCCCCGTGGGGCTTGACTGAGTACCTCAGGCTGTGCGTGCCCACCACCACCATCACCACCACCACCACCACCACGCGCCCCAGCACTGGGCCAGGGGACCTAAGGCTGCTCCCCCCCTCTGGCAGAGCTTGATGGAGGACCTCAAGGTGCATCCCCCCTGCCCCGGTGCTGAGCCGGGATACCTCAGGCTGCTCTCCTCATCTGGCAACAGGCTCCCCCCCCCCCCCCCGCCTCAGTGCTTGACAGGCTACCCCCCCCTGCTCTGCGGGTCTTGACAAGGGTGGGACCGGCCGGGTCTGGATCTAGCCCAATGCGGGGTTGCTGGCCAGGTCTGGGTCTCGTGCAATTTTGAGGCACATGTGGTTGGGTGGGGACTTGACTCTGAGTCCTGTGGTGCGCCCCAGATTCTGACAGATGGAAAATTTTTCATATACATTTTACTAATTTTTTTCATCTCTGACACTTCTATTATAGAAAAAGGGCAAATAGCAATATTAAAATATTTCCTCTAATCCCCTTTTAAAGTGCACAAATTTTGTGCACTGGGCCACTATTGGAATAATAAAATCCTTAATTGCATTATGATGGTATTCGCTGCTGTTTGGAGGTTTGGCATTTTTTTGTTGATATTCTTTTTTCCCCAAAAAAATATATATTTTATTGATTTTTTTACAGAGAGGAAGGCAGAGGGATAGAGTGCTAGAAACATCAATGAGAGAGAAATATTGATCAGCTGCCTCACGCACACCCCCTACTGGGGATGTGCCCTTGTACGGAACACATTCAAGGGACCCAGAATCGAACCTGTCCGCAGGCTGATGCTCTATCCACTAAGCCAAATGGTTAGGGCTCCTGTTGATGTTCTTACTATAAGAATCTAGTAGTTGATTTGAAAATGGGTTACAGTGTTTAGATTCTTGATAGGTTAAAATTTTGTATTTGAAAAACTTAGTTATTTTGTGGAAACATTTTGATACAGTTGGTAAAAAGGATAATGTAATTTCACTTTTACAGAATTTAGACTCAGAAAAAGAAAAGGAGCTTGAAAGGCAAGCCCGCATTGAGGCTAGCCTTAGGGAACGCGAAAGAGAGGTCCAGAAGGCTCGGTCCGAACAAACGAAAGAAATAGATCGAGAGAGAGAGCAGCACAAACGGGAAGAAGCCATCCAGAACTTCAAGGCTCTTCTGTCTGACATGGTATTTATTGCTCTTTCACTATTTTTGCTATAAAGTACTGGATGTTAGAAATCCATTACATTATCTCATAGTGAACATTTTAATATTTTTTAAGCTGACTGTGACAGATACAATATGGTAAGTTATTTATAAACTCTTCTACAATTGAGTACTTGATATTAGCCCTGTTGGAACAGGCAAACCCTAATATTTAACATTTTCAGAAGTGAGATCATTTATTTATATGAAAATTCATAATCTTTTAGTGTCAAAGCTTTATTTTTATTGGTCTTGATAAGTCATCTTAAAGTCACACTTATAGGCCATAGTAAGAAGCAAGTGTGCTGAACAGAATTGACCTCTTTAAGAAATTTTTTTTTTTTTTTTTTAATTTAGAGAAGGAGGGAGAGAAAGAAAAAGAGATAGACATTAATCAGTTGCCTCCTGAACGTACCCAGATCAGGGATGGAACCCACAACTTGAGTGCGTGCCCTGACTGAGAATCAAACTCAGGACCTTCTACTGCTCCAACCAATTGAGCCACCCTAGCCAGGCATAATTTACCCTTTATTTTATTTTACTTAATAATTCTTTATTGTTCAGATTATTACAATTGTTGTCTCCCTCCCCCATCCCCCCATAGCTCCCGATTCAACCATTGAGGCCACATCACCAGGCTAATTCACCCTTTTTGTTGGTGATGTAGAGTCATCATTGTGATGACCAGTTATTGTCTCTATAGATGGTATGAGAAGTAGGACTTGTGGGGGTGCTGACTCCAGGAGATACCCTGGAACTTTCTTGAAAATACTTCTGCACTACCCAAGGTTGTTGCGATAAGTAGAGTATGTTGTCCCTACAGAGAATACCCCAGACCACTCTACTGTTCTATAGTTTTTTTCCCCTTTGTCACCATCTTTCCTGCTGTTCCTGTCAGTGGCTCTTCAGATCACTCCTGTCCAGTCTTTAGATTTCTTCCCTTGCTTCTGTGATCAGTTTTTAGTTTCCTTTGTCTCTTCTCTGGAAAGTCAGAGTCATTTCCTTATTTCTCACCCTGCTTCTGTTCCCCCCAATTTATCTTGATTGCAACAACAGAAATCTTTGTAGAAGGCAGATCTGATTTTGTGACTCTTCCCTGTGCTTGCAGAAGGTTGGGGTCTTCCTCAAATTCAGTCTCTTAGCATAATATAAAAGACTGTTCATTGCTTGGCTCCCCCTCCCTCCCCCCATTATTACCTTACCTGCTTTGGTTTTTTATTTTCCTCTAATTAGGCTCCAGCCTTGCTGAGCTTAACCTTTAATGAACCATACTTGCATTTAACAAATCCTGCCACTGCTCATTCCAGTCCTTCCACCTAGAGTGCTTTCAAATTCCCACCGTGGTGGCAAACCACCTCACTCTTCAAGAGCACACTCAATAATACCTGTCTGGGGCTGATCCAGCCCCTCCGGGCACATCTGATCTTACTGTTGCTTTAATACTGTGCTCAGCGTAGACTTTTGTAGCGCTCCCTGCATGTTACTGCAGTTGTTGTCTTCCCTAAAAAGAGTGAGCCCATTAAAGAAAGGGATAGCATCTTATTTATTTTGAATTCCCAGTGCCAAGCATAGTGTTTACCTGACATGTATTTAGATGCTTGATAAGTGTTTTTTTTCCTTTCCTTTCTGTCTTTTCAGCCTCCAAATTTCTTTCTTCTTCTTTTTTTTTTTTTAAATATATTTTATTGATTTTTTACAGAGAGGAAGGGAGAGAAATAGAGAACTAGAAACGTCGATGAGAGAGAAACATTGACCAGCTGCCTCTTGCACACCCCCCACCGGGGATGTGCCCGCAAGCAATGTACATGCCCCTGACTGGAATCGAACCTGGGACCTTTCAGTCTGCAGACCGACGCTCTATCACTGAGCCAAACCGGTTTCGGCTCAGCCTCCAAATTTCTTAGCATTGGCAGCAGTGTGACCTAACTGCAAATGCCATTACCAGCATTGAAGCATACCTTTCTGCTGGCTGGTGAACCAGCTAGCCCCAGCTGGTGGTCTGTTTTCAAGTCTTAACAAAGTTACTTCTTGCTTATTCTTGGAAGTGTCACTTCCAGTATACAGTTGATAAGTCCAAATTTTAACTCAAGATTTGTTGAGTGTTTTTCTCCTTGAGCTGCTAGGTGCTACAATAAAACAATGTATTTCCTATTTTATTCATCCATCTCTTCTACTAGAAGTTGGTAAGATGTTAAGTACAAGTTGGTAAGATGTTAAGTACAATAGCTAAGTACTGTTAAAGTGATTACAGACCATGGTTGGTGGAGATAGCTTCTCTTCTTCCTTCTCCACCTCTAAACCAACATTTGACAGCTTAAGTGAGGTCTGAGAAGTAAGTTTTCTGGCCGAAAGAAGCAGATTTTCAGTGACGTATTCACTAAGGTGATGTCACCATCAGCTTGTTTTTTAAATATATGATTTTTAAACAGAGGAGCCTTTCTGGTCTGGTGTTCTGTTTCAGGTTCGTTCTTCAGATGTGTCTTGGTCAGACACTCGGAGGACCCTCCGGAAAGATCATCGCTGGGAGTCTGGATCCTTGTTGGAGAGAGAGGAGAAAGAGAAGCTTTTTAATGAACACATTGAAGCACTTACCAAAAAGAAGAGGGAGCACTTTAGGCAACTTCTGGATGAAACTTCTGCAGTAAGAGTTAATTTTCCTGTTCTAATGTACATGGATATTTGTTAATCCCAAAGTATGATTTTTATTGTCATGGTCTTTAGATCCATGACCGGAATTCATGGGTTATGACACTTCTATGCAGTTTTCTTTTTCTTTTTTTTCTATGCAGTTTTCAAATTCATATCTGATCCTATGCTTGTTCAGAATGTGATCATGGGTCCCACCTGTTGATTTGATAAATTCCTTCTTTTGCCCCATTTTCAATTTGGCACCATAGCCCCTTGTTTGGCAGTGTTTGCACTCTTCTGTCCAGGTTTTGCTCCTGTTGGCCTGCTCTCTAGGTAATGGTTCCTTCAGAAGTTAGGGCAGTGGTCGACAAACTGCGGCTTGCGAGCCACATGCGGCTCTTTGGCTCCTTGACTGTGGCTCTTTCACAAAATACTACATGCAATTGAAAGTTTGTGGCCCATGTGCAGAAGTCAGTTTTTGGCATGGGTGAGCCTATTTTGAAGAAGTGGCATTAGAACACTCAAGGGGCCAAAGAGCCGCATGTGGCTCGTGAGCCGCGGTTTGCCGACCATTGATTAGGGTATTAGGCCTGAGATAGAGGGTTTGCAGGTGATTGTCTTAGGCCACTTGGGAAATGTGTCCATGAAAAGAACTCTTGTGGCATGAAAGCTGCTTCCCTGTCCCTGACTAGTGCAGTTACGCTGAGGCGCTCGCAGGGCAGTGAGTAGTGCTGTGTGCCATACATGCTGCAGTCTGACCCCTCAGTAAAAGTGAGCCGTATTTATGTTTTCTTTCCCTTGTCTTTTTAAAGATTACCTTAACATCTACATGGAAAGAAGTAAAAAAAATCATCAAGGAAGACCCTCGGTGCATTAAGTTCTCCTCCAGTGACAGGGTAAGAGGATTTTGTCTGAGCTTAAGTATATGGGAAATTTGAATTTTAAGTTCATATTTTTTTTCTTGCATGAATATATTAACAAGACAGCACAATGGAAACTTAAAAAAAAAAAATCCTTGGAGTTAAAACTATGTTTTGGGATTTGGAGATTTAACAGCCAGAGGGTTTGTTTTGTTTTTTTAATTATTCCCCCCTGAGGGAATCCTTCAGTCCATTACTGTGTGATCTCTAGTTCTTACTTGCTTCTGAAACTCAAATGGAGGAATTTCGGATGTGGGGAGTTTGTTAGATGAGCCTTGCTCTGGTGCTCTCTAACTCCTGTTTAAGAACAAAGTCAGTTGGGGTCTGAAATAGTGAACAATGTCAAGAAAAGTGGTATTTAAAAAAAAAAAAAATGAGTAAGCCCAGCTGATGTAGCTCAGCGGTTGAACATCTACCGAGGAACCAGGAGGCCACGGGTTCAAATACTGGTCAGGGCACATGCACAGATTGTGTGCTCAGTCCCCTATGGGCATGCAGGAGGCAGCTGATCAATGATGTTTCTCTCCCTTCGATATTTCTATTTCTCTTTCCCCATCCCTTCTTCTGTCAAAAAAACAAAACAAAACAAAAACAATAAAAACCTTGGAGTTCCATTAAATAAACATAGAAAAAGAAAAGTGTGGCTTATTGCAGTCCATTTTATACTCTGCACTTTTATTTGTATTTTCTTCCCACCATTCATTCTCCTTTTCTAGTTGGTTTCTGTAGTTGAGTCCAGAAACACACAGATCTAATATTCCTCCTTTTCAAACCCTATTAGGTTTTGTGTTTGAGATGTTTGGATCACAAAATATCCGAGGCTGGGTTAGAGAGGTAGACTGATTGATACCTGAGAGTTCAGTCTCAGTTTCTAACTTTTCTGATTGTTTAGAATTGATGAAAATGTCTTTTTTTTTTTTAAATATACTTTTTTAATTGATTTTTCACAGAGAGGAAGAGAGAGGGATAGAGAGTTAGAAACATCGATGAGAGAGAATCATTGATCAGCTGCCTCTTGCACACCCCTACTGGGGATGTGCCTGCAACCAAGGTACATGCCCTTCCTTGCCCGGAATCGAACCTGGGACTTTTCAGTCCGCAGGCCGACGCTCTATCCACTGAGCCAAACCGGTCCCGGCACATTTCTTTATTTCTTAAAAGTGTCTGTCTACCACTTGAGGCTCTCGTGAAGATGAAGAGGAATCGCCTCATAAACTCTCAGCACAGGGTAGCATTGAGCAAGCCCTCAAGTTTTACCTGTTAGTAATATATGGTTCTGCAATCTTGCTTTCTTTTTGTCTTACAATGTACGTGGCAGGTTTTCTATTTTAATGAATGTTACAAGAACACAAATAAAGGTACCTTACTGCTTTTTTCTTTAGAATTTTCTGGTTTACAATGTGACTTTTCACGTTTCTAGTTTTATAAATGACATTAATTTTGGAATTTTTTTCCCTTTCTAATCTTACTTTCTTTTTTCAGAAAAAACAAAGAGAGTTTGAAGAATACATCAGAGACAAATACATCACTGCCAAAGCCGACTTCAGGACGCTTCTGAAAGAGACCAAATTTATAACATATAGGTGTGTGCAATGGAATGTTTCATGTCAGCACTTCCTATCTTTACTAGTTCTTACGCGAATGGCCAAGGCATACTTTGCATTCACACACGTTAACATTTTAACTTCTAAGGATAAGAAGAAGCCAACTTTTATCAAAGACCAGAGACAAACCCATCTCTACCTTACTTTTTTTTTTTTTTTTTAAGAAAGGGCCCAGATGCCAATTCTTATTTTGTGTTACCCACCCATCCAGTTTTTTAAACAGACTTCTGTTTTTACTTCACTGCTTTTTTAGAAGTTCCCCAACTTTAAATAATTCTTCACTGTCAGTTGTCTTCACCTCCTCCGAAGACTACTCAGTGTTGCTGAACACTTGGGAGCTTGAAATCATCCAAGCTCAGCAAAAACATTTTTTCTTCAGAGGAAAGCACTTCGCTGAATAGTTTTAAATAAAGATTTTAAATGATAAACTCGGAGCTTTAAAACAGGATTTCACTGTAGCATGCCCAGTCGACCCCATCCCAGTAGAAGAACAAGTTGACATTGGTTAGTCTGTGCAGGAAACCGTTGTTGGTTCATGCTCCAGCTTTTCCTTTAAGAGAAAAATGAGAAATATTTATGAAGGGTGTGTGCACGGGAGGCTAGGTAGTGCTGAGGGTGTGGTTTTTAGGTTCTTTGTCATTGGATTTTTTTGGTCAGGATCCATAATGTTTTGCATCAGCTTGGGCTTTTAAATTAGATGTGAAGTAAGACTTCTTTCTACATTTTTGTAGTTAATTTAGTGAAAGATGTGAAAGTGAAAGCTTGTGAAAGATGCTGGGATTGGCAGCCCCGCAGACTGAAGTCCTCTGTTCATCCACAGAACAGGTACAGCACGGGCAAGATTCACCCACCCACCCTCAGCCCTGGTCTGGAGGGCCCACCAGTAGGGGTGGGAGGGTAATTCAGCTTCTGAGGCCCTTTCACTCCCTGGAGTCTTTGCTGAGGCGACTTACAAAGGTGACCACTGCAGTGAAATTTTTCTTAAAAAAAAAAAAAAAATTTTAAAAAGTGGAAACACAATTAGGAACTAGATGGACATTTCCAGCTCATCTCTGAAAGGCCTGTGAACAGCAGTCAGTAATTCTTGGACTTCTTTTCTTATTTCAGATCCAAAAAGCTAATCCAGGAATCTGATCAGCACCTGAAAGACGTTGAAAAAATTTTGCAGAACGACAAACGGTATCTAGTACTAGACTGTGTGCCAGAGGAGAGGCGGAAGCTGATCGTGGCATATGTGGATGACCTGGACCGCCGGGGCCCTCCACCCCCTCCCACAGCGTCGGAGCCCACCAGACGATCAACAAAATAACCCTGCATACTCTTCCATGGGGGCATCTATTACTTCAAAATGCTTGCATGAGCCAATTTTCAGGTTTTTTACATGTATGTGCATTAGTCAAACTATTGCAGAACCATCTGACGAACAGAAGGAGAAGCATTCGTGAACAGTTGCTGAACAGAGAACACTTTGGAAATATTTATGCTTTTCTTTGTGTGGCATGACTGACATACATACTCAAATATAGGCTGTCTCTAGTAAATCTAAAATCTTGAAGCTAAAAATCATCCTTTTATGAGGTGTGGAAGTCAGTGACTTTTGGTGACGTTCTTTCTAGCAGTGTTATACATGCCAGACATAAGATCATTTGTGGTTTGAACTTGCAAGATACAAATACCACAGACTCCCAAAAAACGTAGGCTGGGGTTTGTTTTGATTTTGTTTTTCAAAGCGGGTAAAAGAGAAAACACTGAAAATGGAATTCTTATCTTCCAGAGGTTAAGATTATTATAATGGACATACTTTTACCTTTGTCTCTAAAGAACACTTTAGTTTTATTTGTTCACTTACGAGCTTTGATTATCCCCTCTGAATTATAGGCCAAGTCTTGTTTAGCCTAAGAGAAGATTTATTTAGGAATTTCTTCTCAGGTATGGAGCCACGGTCATAACTAATATGTTGGCCAGAATAGAACTGCTGGTTAAACACATTCACCATTAAGTGATCTTTATCAATATTCTGGATTAGACAACAGATTACCTTTTTTGGGTGTTCCCTGTAAACTGTACTCCTGTTTGAATGTTAAACTTTTGTTTCTAAAGTTTAATTTTAAGATGTTGAATGTTCAGTTTATGTATTTGAACTACAATAAACCAACCCTTTTTCTATAAGTGGATTGTATATGATTATGTTACATAATATAAAAAATTTTTTTTAAAACCTGCTCTTAAAAGCAGCAGCAAATGTAATTTGGTACAAAGAAAGGTTGACTAAGTCTTGGGATATCACATAGTTTTGAAAGGCTTGAATATAATAAATGATTTACAAAAGGGACGGGATTTGTAAAGAACATTTTGGTGCTCAGTCTCTTAGCAATATCTTACTGCTTTATAGCAAGAAGCTGCTTTTTGTGTTCCTTGTTTTTGCCTTTTATATGAAAGGATTTGGTGGTTAATGCTTTCGGCGTCGTTTCAGTGTGTCAGGCGCACCGTGCATGGAGCTTCGCCTTGGATGCCTTCCAGTTGCTCTGCGTAGCTTGACCGCCCGGTTTAAAAAGATCCTTCTGTTCCGTTCCTTAATAGGTGCCTAGTGTCGGTGTACCACATAAATAAAATGTCTAGAAAAGTATGTCAGTAGGGTACTTATTTTGTCTGTTAATCTTACACATACTGTGATTGTAGCAAAACCTAAAAAGAGGGCATACCAACAGTCTGCATTTACATGTTCTGTGCACTACACAGCACATACTTAGACGCATTCACATCTGGGCTACTTTGTACGTAGCCACGCAACTTACATGAACTTGGCATGTAGTGGCTGGGATTATTTCACTAAGGTCTTAACATGTAAAATTGCTAATTAACAGGACTTTTTTCCTCTTTTCCCCCCTCCTCTTTTTTTGAAGTTCATTTTTATAAATTTATTGAGTGATTTTTAAGTTCTGTGAGAGTGAAATGGAAGTGTTTGACAAAAGGAACACAACTAGGATAGGAATATGTCCTGCAAAGGTGGAACTTGTGCAGTGTTTTGTCATTTCCAGTTCCACAGAGCATTTTTCTGTTTCTCACAATAGGGAGTGTGAAGAAAATGGTCTGGTGATATTTCATTTCCTACTTTGTGGTAAAGTATTTGGGATTAAGTATTCATCCAAGTAGCAAATCGGACTCTCTATGCAGATTTCTTTAAGGAATTAAGTCAGGACTCTGTGTTCGGTACTTAATGAAAGGGTTGTTGTAATTACAGTTTCAATATCTGTAACTGGATTTGCTGCTTATCAGCAAATTCTTTAAAAATTAATGATTCAGTTTACCCAGAGAACCATGTTTAAGATCTGACCTCCCCCTAAAACCCATCGTGCCAAATAATGAATTTTGAAAGGAGATTTCAAGACAAAGACTAATTCTCCAAACTATCTGAAGTGAAACAATGCCTTTTATTTTTGTATGTTAAAATATTCAACACTGCCGGGACCGGTTTGGCTCAATGGATAGAGCAACGGCTTGGGGACTGAAGGGCCCCGGGTTCGATTCCGGTCAAGGGCATGTACCTTGGTTGCGGGCATATCCCCAGTAGGGGGTGTGCAAGAGGCAACTGATCAATGACTCTCTCTCATTGATGTTTCAAACTCTCTATCTCTCTCCCTTCCACTCTGTACAAAAATCAATAAAATATATTTAAAAAAAAAAAAAAAAAAAAAAAAAAAAAAATAAAATATTCAACACTGGAATCTTACAGCCTACATTTATTATATATAATGTACATAAAAATCTTCAAATAGTTCATCACAGACAATTTTAAAGGTAAATCCCTGTGTATAACTATCATCACAAAAACAATATTTTGGATAGTTAGGTTAAATTGGAATTTGATCATGTGAGCCTTAGAATAAAATTTGTAATGAACCAAGTAAAAAGAAAATAGCCCTATTTTCTGTGTTAAACCAGACCATTTGTACAAACAAACAAACAAAAACATTTTTCAAAAAATAAAAATTCCATCCACAGCATATTTTTTGTATTTCAAATTTTTCATTGCATGCCCTAAGGACAGTCCTTCCACCCCCGCCCCTGAGGGGATCCTTCAGTGAGAATACCCCCAGGTCTATTACAGAGTAATCAATAACCATGGATAAATGTCTATATTTCATAGATGAAGAAATGCATCATAACCATGTCTTTCGGGGTGTGCTTTAACTGGCTGTGAAATGAACAGTCAAATTTTACTGGATGGGAACACAAAGTTTCATTTTACTGCTTTTTTGCATTGCCCTTGTGTGTGTTTTTTCTGGTTACTCTTGATCATCTTTATAACTTAAAAACAGCCATTTAAAAATACATTTTTATTGATTTCAGAGAAGGGGGAGGGAGAGAAACATCAGTGATGAGAGAATCATTGATCTGCCTCCTGCACACCCTCTAATGGGGATCAAGCCTGCAATCCCGGTATATGCCCTCCTGTCCCAGCACTGAGGCATTTTAAATGTTGAACAGGGTTCAAGTTCAACGTTATGGCTACATATGATGCCATTTAACTAGAAAGTTTGTCTATCCTTTTATAATATTTGATTACTACCTTCAGTAATTGATAACTATATCACTAGACATAGCTTATATAGTTTTATCTTGAGAGAAAGGAGAAATTGGAAGGAACAGATTGATTTCAACTTACAGAAGAGTAACTGTCTCCTTTATTTGGCAAGAATCGATAATTGGGAAGAGAAAGGGATAGTTTTTAAAGTTCTTTCTCCATATCAGAATATAGAGGGTCATAACTAAGCTTCTAAAATTCTTAGAAACGGAAGACTCATCAAGGTGGCATTACAAAGATTAACAAAAGCAGGTTTTAGTGTAAGGTGAAGTTTGCATTTACTTGAACTTGGCTATGATTTGAAATGAGCCCAGAATTGTAAAGTGATGTTCCTTATTCTGTAACTTCAGTAGTTTTCATCAAGTAAATGTACTTACTTTAAACAAATGAAGGTAACTCATTGAAATGTATTCATTAACATGTTAAAGGAAAAACCTCATTACGTGGAAGTGGATTCTGAGCTTTGGTTATGTGACAGGGGACATGAGGGCCAGCAGGCTCAGGAGGAAACTGAAGGAAAGGCTTCAGGGTTAAACCGGCTGCACTCCAGCCGGCACAGGGCTGGTCCCAGAGAGAACCCAGGGACACAGCCCCTGTGAGCCAGGACCTCAGAGCGGGCTTCCTAGTCCCTGTGGTACACACACACACACAACACCGTCCTTTGGGCAGCCAGGCGTTAGTTCTGAAACAATCACTGCTTCTCAGGTGGCGTCCTACTTACGTACCCACTTGCACATTGTGAAAATGCAGACTGAAGCAATTTTTGTAACTCCTAAATGTAATAATCTTATGTTTTATATGGTAAAGTCAGCCATACGGGTTAGCGGCAATACCAGTAAATACAATTGTCGCAGATTAGTGTTGCTTTGAGACTTCATCACTTATCACAGTCTCCTGTCTCTCGATCTTCATGCTCCCAGGGGATGGGGTCGTTGTCTTGTTCACTAGGGTTTGTGTCCCTCTCGTGCCAGAACTGCTCTACGTCCGGGAGGATGGGCATCTCTGCCTTCTGGCTTCTCTCTCTTCTGGAGGCAGGAGAGCCCGTTTTCTCTTTCTCTGGCGTGGAGACTGGGGACTCCTGGGAGGGAATATTGTCAGGAAGGGCCTCCGAGTCCCCAGCTGGTGGTGGTTCCTGAGACTCAGCGGCGGCAGCTGCAGGCTTTTTGGTTATCATCCATTTCCACAAGCCTTTCAGGCTTTCCTTGAACTCCCCTGACATCACAAGGAAGATGAGCGGGTTTGCTGATGAGGTGGAAAACAGCAGGACCTGAGACAGGGCTATAAAGCCCTGGGGTGGGGCTGGGCTGCCAGCCTTCAGGTGCCACAGCCACAGCCAGGCTACCCACTCGGGGAGCCACAGGACAGCCGAGGTGAGAGCCATGCTGAGCAGCATCACCGTCAGCTGCCTGGAGCGCACCTGGTTCCTGAGATGTCGGGACTTAGTTCCTCGTCTCTGACGTTGGCCGTAAGCTCTCCAGAAATAAAAGCTGGCAAGGAGTAACGGCAGGCAAAACACCAGGAGGGGGTAGAGCTTACCGAAGACGGACACGAACACCTCGGCCCTCGCGGGCACATCCACAAGGCACATCTCCACCCCTGCCTGCAGCCTGGTGGTGCTGAAGAAGCATTCTGGCAGGGGCAGCAGGCCAGCCACGGCCCAGAGAGCTGCCAGCCCCGACCAGATGGTGCAGCTGTGGACACTGACTTGCTTGGCTGGGTCCCTCGCGTACATGAAGCAGACTTTGGCCATCGTGACGGTCGTCAGGCTCTTGGCCGCCATGCACGTGTGGGTGAACCAGTCAGAGGACTTGCAGACGAACCAGCCCAGGTCCCAGGCACCTCTGGCATAGGCGGTGGCTCGGACAGGCGCCGAAAACAGCAGGAGAGAGAGATCCGCCAGGCTGAGGTTCAGAATCAGGGAGTGGATCAGGGACGGCTTTCCCCTGCACGCCCTGTGGAGGAGGATGCCAAGCACACACAGGTTCCCCACGAAGCCCACCAGGCAGACGGCCACCAGGACAGCCGGGACGATGGTTCTCCAGTCCTCGGAGTCAGAGGGCAGGTACCCTCCGGCAAAGCGGAGGTGAGCAGAGGACACGTTCATGGTGCTGGAGTTGGGGTCTGCAGGCATCGCCTTTCCCACCTGGCACCTCCTTGCAGGAGTTAGCTTCTTCGTGTCTTTCTGCCTTGCTCCTCTGCCTAGGAAATAAGTATGCCGCCGCCGGCACGGGCAAATGGGCACCTCTGGGCCCTCCCCTTGCCTGTCTCCTGAGAGCAGAGTGTGGGAGAAGGTTGGCTGAGCTGCACGGGATGTGGGTGGACTGGGCTGAATGGCAGGCGCCAGGGCGCATGGTGGCTGCTCATTGGCAAGTCTGATATCAAAGTGTCACTCCTTGGAGAACACCCCATATACCCATAAATGATAAATGAGGAGAACATACATGTAAGTGGGGTGGGTTCCTGGGGGGTCACCAGAGCCAGTCCAGGCAATTATTTTCAACCAGCTGTTTCTGAAATCCTGACCGCAGCCTGTTAGTCAGTAAACACGGCATCTGAATTAGCTGGTCCTTGAAACCAGAGCACGAAAGCACACACCGGAATCACCCGGAGAGCTGGACCCAGCGGAGCAGGTGCGGGTTAGAGCAGAGTTCTTTGCAGCCTTCAGCAGAGGGGCGTTCTGAAACTGTGATTGGGTGGAGGGAGGGGAGGGAAAGGGAACCAGGGAGAGATTGTGGCTTAGAAGGACCAAGCCAGAGGGCAGTACGAGGCAGGGAGAAAGGAGTCAGAATGCTGAGACTCAAAATGTGTTGCCTCTGATGCCTGATTTCAGGGCCCTAGCAATAGGGACACCCCCACCTTCTCTCTCCCCACCCAAACACACACACATGCCTCCGCTGGGTCCCAGGCTGCTGTTCCTGACTGGGACACCACCCATAGTGGGGATGCCAAGGGTACCCCATGCAACCTCAAAAGTATTAATAAAAAGGGGAAATTGGAGCCACAGACATTTAAAAAATCAATTTAAGTGACAAGGGACTTCAGCCGACTTAATCTTCAAAAGAACCCAGACCAGGCAAATTGGTGGCCAAGTTTTTTTTTATTTTTTTATTTTTTTATTTTATTGATTTTTTTACAGAGAGGAAGAGAGAGGGATAGAGAGTTAGAAACATCAATGAGAGAGAATCATCAAACAGCTACACCCCCTACTGGGGATGCGCCTGCAACCAACATACATGCCCTTGACGGGAATCGAACCCGGGACCTTTCAGTCCGCAGGCCGACGCTCTATCCACTGAGCCAAACTGGTCCCGGCAAGGTGGCCAAGGTTTTAAGTGGCTTCTGATAAAAGCAGTGCTAAGTGTGATCCTTTTGCCAGGTCTGGGCAAAGCTTACCCTAGAGCTGGGTTCCAGGGAAAGGTGAGGGATACAGGCAAACCTCGGAGATGTATGGGGTTCTGGTCCAGGCCACTGCAATAAAGTATCGCAGCAAAGCAAGCCTTCATCCTTTTTGCTGGTGGATGGTCTTGATTTCAATTTGTAAAATGTGCAACATCTGCCCTCAGTTTGATTCCTGGTCAGGGCACATGCCTGGCTTGCGGGCTTAATCCCCAGTAGGGGGCGTGCAGGAGGCAGCTGATCCATGTTTCCCTCTCACATTGACGTTCTCTGCTTCTCCCTCTTTCTCTTACATCAATAAAGACTTCTTAAAAAGTAACATCTGTGGAGCCTAATAAAGGAGGTCTGCCTGTTATAGTCATCTATCAGTGAGTTCCAAGTGCCTCCCTCCGTGCGAAGTGTTCCACACATTGAATTCTCTCAGCATCTGGAGAGGGTCCCATTCTCAAGACAAGGATGATGTTGAAGCAGAGAGAGGCAAAACCACTTGCCTTGGCGCTGACGGTCACACGGCCAGTAGGTGACAGAGTTGGGAGAGGGCCCCGGGGGGTCTGACCCAGAGGTGGCGTGGTCAGCCGCCTGCTCTCCTGCCCACGAAGAAGGCAGGGACTGACAGTGAGCAGTGCCAGGGGAATTGCTCTATTTCAGTTCAGTGAGCACATAGTGAGCCCTTTGGCTGGAATACAAAGCTGCAAGCCCCTCCTCCTCTGCCGGCCCTGGGAGCCCAGTGGGGTGCCCCGTCCGTTCTCTTGAGGACCTACAATCTCGTTGGAGAGATGACCAACCGCGAAGGTTCCAGGACAAGGGTCCTGGCCGCTGGTGCCTGGCAGAGGGGCACCTGGAGCGCACCGACAGCCGACAGCCGGCGGGCAGGAGCCAGGCCCAGGCTTCTGGGAGGATGGATGGGAGCTGGGACCTCGCCATGCGCCTGCTCCTCTCCCCCACGCCCTTTTGGGCTCCTCGCCGCTGTGCCCTCAGGATTCCTGCATCCAACTCCAGAGAACAGCTGCTTCTCATCCAGGGCGTCCACGTGGCTGACCCCAGGCCTTTGGGGTTGACCTCTGACCTGAGCAGGTGCAGCGGGAGGGGCGGGGCCTCGCTGGCCACCTGCGGGCCATCGGCGGGCTGGGCGCATCCGGCCCGTGGGCAGCGCCGGGAGCCTGGGTTTGCAGGCGCTGCCGCCCCTCTCTCCCACCCGCGAGCGGACAAGGGCCGCGTTGGGCCGTGGTTTCCTTCTCGTCGGCCTTGCCCCGGGTCCCCGTGGCACGACGTGACCTTGTTTTCCCGGAACATCTTGCTCCGGCGTCTCCCCGGTAGTTGGCGTCCGGTGCCTTGGAGTGTGGCTTCGGCTGCCGGTGCGAGTCAGCCCATCTCCCAGGTAAGTGTGGATGGTCTGGCTGCGTGTGAAAGGCCCCCCATGGAAGACAGCCCCCCTCCGTCCCCACCCCCTCCGCTGGTGGGTGGGTAGCTCTTAGGGCCGCTAGTGGGGAAGACCATGGAGGAGGATGGATGGTGCTGCTCGTTAGGAAACACGGGTGGCGATTTCCTCCTGTGTCTGACATCAGGGGCCATTTCCCACGCAGCTGAGTGTGTTTCCATGGCCATCCTGTGTGTTTCAAAGGCCGCAGGCTGGGCTCAGGGATGAGACCGTGAGGCTGGAAGGGGGTGATGGCGTGCCCGGGGAACCAGGTGTGGCAGGTGCTGAGGGGGTGGGAGGGGCGTGGCTCCTGGGTAACAGGGACCAGCTGGGCTCCGGCGTGGTGCTTTTTTGTTGCTTTTTGTTGTTCACGCGGATTTGCGCCCCCCTGTTCCTGCGGGTTTTCACTTTTGTGGTAAAGAATGTGTTGACTTTGTGGAGGATGAAATCCGGACGTGGGTGAGAAGGCCCTTTGGAAAGCCAGAGGATGGTGAGAACACGAGGAGGGAGCTCCAGGGGGCCCGCTTTTGTAGAATTTGCAACTTTCCTGAAAAAAGAAATCACGGTCCTATCAAAACACAGCTGTGGTCAATGCTGTGATGCATTCCCTTTTCATCTCTCCCTCCCCACCCTCACTGGTTAAAATCATGCTTTGGACATAAAAGCACGTCCCTGGTTTCGCTGCCTTGTTTGCTGTGGGTCCTTACCGATGACATCATTTAGAGAAAAATGTAGGTTTTTTTTTTTAAATCAAAATTCCATTGCCTCGATCACCTTGTGGAATACTGTTTCCCATTCTTCTAAAAAGCATCTTTATTGAGATATAATTCACCTACCATCATACAGTTTTTCCCAATGAAAGGGTCCAATTCAGTGGTTTGGGTTTTTAACCTTTTTCACATTGTTGCCCATCCTGAGGGGCTAGTGAGGTAATCCTCTCTCCGGGGCTGCTTCTCTGCTGTGCCTGCAATACTGAAGTCTCCACAAATGTAAGTTATAGTAATAACTATTCTTCAAGAACACAGCTTCTGTGCTGTGCCTGCCAACTCCAGCAGGTGGCGTGGCCTCCACATGCGCATGTCCAGCCTCCCAGAACTGGAAAAGTCTGTGGAAGGCAGGCCCCGCAGGCTGGCTGGCTCAGTGAGGGAGTCCCTCACGAACCTGGTGTCCCGGTGTCCCGTTAGGGAAGGAGAGTAGATGGCCCTCCCGGTCCCAGACGTTGCCTTCCTTTCTAAAAAGAGAGAGGAAGCCCTTGGCGGCTATAGGTTTGCCTTTCATGTTTATTCTTGGGAGGAAAAAAAGTAAAAAACAATTGTTTTCAATCATTCCCCCCCAAACAAGATACCATACTCTGACTCTTGGAAAGAAAGATGTTTGGTTGGAAGGGAGGGAAGGCCACACATATTTCAGCCTGTGTGCAGAACGTGTGTTGATTGGCTTTTCTGCAGAGTGCATTAAAACAAACAAAAAAAACCTTAACACTTTTCAGTCCCTCATTACAAATTCTTTTAAAAAAAAAATATATATTTTATTGATTTTTTACAGAGAGGAAGGGAGAGAAATAGAGTCAGAAACATCGACGAGAGAGAGTCATCGATATCAGCCGCCTCCTGCACGCCCCCTACCGGGGATGTGCCCGCAACCAAGGTACATGCCCTTGACCGGAATCAAACCTGGGACCCTTCAATCCGCAGGCTGATGCTCTATCCACTGAGCCAAACCGGTTTCAGCCCTCATGACAAATTCTTGTTGAAAGTTGAGGAAATTCTAAATTGTTTCTTCTAAAACTACCTTATACTTGATTTTACCTCTTTGCTCCGCAGTAGCAATTGAGAATTGAAATATGTAAGTTTGAGATAGTCTCACAAGCATGTCTGTATCTTTTCCCTCATAAAACATTTTTAAAATTAGGCAGAGGAGGGGATAATGCCATCACTTTGTAGAAGAAACCCCAGCACTCAGCGGTGGAGACTTGCTGGGAGTTACAAAGCTGACCAGCTGCCGGACCGATCTAGCCTCTGGCTTTCTGCTCTGGTTCCAGCGCTTCCCCAGGTCGGCCTCCCGCGGGGACCTGTGCTCAGGTGTCCCGTGTTAGGCTCTGTTGCTGCTGTAATAAGCACCTCGGAGTTAGCAGCTTCCAGGCCCGGGGAAGGAAAGCCCTGAAATCGAGGTGTCGGCCGGGCTGCCTTCCTTCTGGAGGCGCCAGGGAGAATCCACTTCCCGGCCTTTTCCAGCTTCCGGAGGCTGTGCCCACTCCTGACTCACCACCCCTTCCTCCACCCGCACAGCATTTTCCCCTCCCCCCACCTCTGCTCCGA